AGACTGCAAAAGACCTGCTCTTGTTGAGATCACAAAATTAAATATACACGTGGTATGAGATTTTCTTTAAAATTGGATGCCTACTTCCTTATTTGTTGTTTTTGACAATGAACTGGTTTCAAACTTATGACATTTTCATAATTTAGCAGACTACTGGACGTTTTGTTCCTGCTTCTTCTCCAGTGTATTTTATCTGTGGAGGTCTTTATTCTGAATCTTGAGTTTATATTTAGACTGCATCTTATAAACTTGGATATATGATGTTACATGAATAAGTCTTCTCCTGATTTGCTACAAGCAGTTATCTACTGCAAGGACTTATGAGAACAATTCACATCCTATCTGCATTAGCTAGGTAAAACTTCTTACAAGAAACGTCAAGACTATCCTTGCACAGCGTTGAACAGATATTTAACAAATATTTCCTGTCATGATAGAACTGCAGGCAAAAGGATGTTAAGTGAGCACAGCCTATGCCATAGATGGAGTGAAAGATTTACTGATTCTGATAAACTTGTTGACTAACAGCTTATAAACAAACACAAGTTTTCATTCCTTTATTTAAAGGCTGTTTTCCTATCTTCCCAATAATGTGAGCAAACATTTCTTGCAAGATAAAAAAAAAAAACTAATTTTTTGTTACATTAATTCACACCTCATTGTAAGATGCTTCCTTTGCAGTTCCTTCTTCAATTAATATCTCATCAAATAAGTTTAAACTGTTGCCAGCTGGTGTTGAATTTGGAGCAGAGTTGTCTGTAGAAAGAAAAACACATCACATAAAGAAAAAAACAAGTTATATGGAGATTGCATTGTATCACAGAGAAGAACATGACCTTACCTGAAGAAATACCCACTTTGGACTTCAACTTTTGTACAAGTTTTTATTGGAAATACACAATCCAATTTACATCGATATAAAAGATAATAAAGAAATCTAAAGTTCAACTTAAAAACATTGTTTTAGAAAATGTATAGATTAAGAGAACCTCTAAGAACAAAGGAGGGCACGTTTTGTGACTAAGTTGTTTGAAGTCAAAAGAGGGCTAGCTCACAATAAAGCTTTCTAATTTACAAAGCAACGACTCTAAGCAGTGACCTAAAGTTCCAGAATTCCAGTGCTGCTAGCTAGTAGAAAGATAGAATAACTATGTACATGCTACAATTCATTCAGCTTTTGGTCAGACTTGACTTTTGAATGCTTGCAGCTGAAAATAAGTTAACAATAGAAAAAATACTCAGAATACACATTCAGAAACACAATTCAGTTGATCAGAATGAAATGGGAAGAAAAAATGAGCTATTATAGAGTTGGTATGAGGTTGAATACCATGCTTCTTGTGCTGAATGTGAAAGTGAAAACCTCCTGTACTGCTTTATATTCCCTCACAAAGATGAACTACCTTGCTTTAGTTCCAAAGAAATAGATAGAAAAACAAAAAAACACACATATTATTTAGCTAAAAGAGCTCCTTCTTCATTCGATCTGAGCGCTGTTTACCAAATACACATTACTGACAGGGCCTGATTTATGACACCTCTGAAATACAGATTAATTTACAATCAAACGAAGTCAGCTATCAAAATTGTTTCGATCCTTTGGACTATACTGTCCAAATAATACAGAGTATTAGTACAATGCAAGAGGACACATGAGTAACACCTTACTTGCACGTAACAAAAATCTCACCAATCTTCCTTTTAAATTAAGAGGAGATCCTTCAGATCTAGACTATATCAAATCATTGGTGATGCATGACATGTCTGCATTGCGTTACCTTACTACTACTTGGATCACTTCTACAACAATATATCTCAGTTTCTGAAATAAGACCCAAGAGATTCCCTTAACTGTGGTAACAAATACAAAATGGAAAGAGAGAAAAAGATGTATGCACATTTTACATCTGTAGGATACAGTATAGTGCTTCCATAAACATTCAATGCACTCACAGATGTAAGGATAATAGAGAAATACTTGTTCAAATACTAGAAACTGCATTTCATTAAACTGCCCTATAAAAATCCAAAAAAAGGAACATTTTGAAATTTTGTTTCTTTCTTACCTTAAAAGAAGTTAAAAGAGGAAAATAACTTACATTAGCATGTGAAATTACTCTGAACATTAAAGATTAAGAGGACCTACTAAATGCATTGTATCACACACAGTATGTTCTGGAGCTCTCATTGGTGATTTAGTGATCAGTGACTGTTGGTACTGGTCCTGAAGCTATTTAAGAAACACAAAAGGAAGGTGTGTTTCCAAGGTAAAATGTCTAATAGCGAGGCACAGACAGAAGAGCTGAAGTTTCTCTGCACGCTTTCATGAGTCTCTTAAAATAAGCAGCATTGCATGAAAACTATGCTATAATCATTTAGGTAAAATACTTCAGAATTCTCAGTCATATCAGTTGTATTTACACAGTGTATAATGTGTATGCCTTGAATTTATGTAAGTAGGTCATCGAAGCACATGTCAGCCCAGCTAAATGTAAATTTAAAACTAAATGTGGTCTTGCTTGAAACCAGCCTAAAAAGCAACAGACTATAATACTTCAACCCAATTAACAAGATTCATCCAACCTACCAGGAACTGTCAAGCCACTGTCCAAACCATCGTAAATATCCACTGAGCTCTCATCACCTTCCTTAAAGGGGGATGCTTCAGCTAAAGTAAGAAGAAAAAAGAGCAACAAAGTAAACTTTTATAAACACCAACTTCTAACTTTCTACACATAGTCACGATCCGAGGGCACTACAGAACAGCAGTAGTAGTTTATATGGAGAAACAGTCTTTAGCCATCTGGGAGCAAATAAAGTTCTGTGATCAATTCCTAAATCTCACAAGACCTGTCCATGAAGCGAATCTTATGGCTTTAATTACAATTTAAAATTAACAACTGGCAAAGCTGACTTGGTCTGAATTGGAAACAATTTTCTTGAAATACGCTGAATCCAGACAAAGATAAAGATTTCGAATCATAAAACCACCACTGTTAAAAGAAATAATTCTCACCAAGTAACAGGAAGCATTTCAATAATCTGTGTCATAATTCAGATTTTTATTTTGTCATCTATTTGCATTCTAACTGGTTCTGCAAAATTGTTTCAATCTAGATTTCTCCAGACTCTCCTCGTATCTTTTTCCAGTGCTTCTTTATTACTCTCATCTCCTACATGAGAATCTTTCCAGTTCTGCAACAAATATCATTACTTTTAAGAAAAATATAAATATCCACCAATTTTCTGAGGCTGGGAATCTCACAAACGCATCAGATCAACAAACTGCTGAATTGGAGCACCCTGACTGTTTGTACTAGATCTGAAGTCGGGGCATTTTTCTGCAAGAACAAAAAACAGAGGACCAAACCTCTCAACTTGCCCAAATACAGAGATAAGGAAGGTTAAATCACATGCTATAAAGCAAAGGTGAGATGCCTGTTGCAGGCACTCTGGCAACACATTAGAAACCCAAAATACAACTGCATTGTATTTTGTACATAGAGTGGCAAATGCAATCTTACTGATGTGATCACAGAATCACAGAATGGCCAGGGTTGGAAGGGACCTCAAGGATCATGAATCTCCAACCCTTCTGCCACATGCAGGGCCACCAGCCTCCCCATTTAATACTAAACCAGGTTGCCCAGGGTCCCTCCAATCAGGCCTTGAACACTTCTAGGGATGGGGCATCCAGTTCCAGCACCTCACCACTCAATGATGTGATGTGGCTCACACTGAGACTGTTTCATGCTATATAACTACAGCTTACCAGCATTTGTCCAAACTTACATTATTTCCATTTTGTTTTTATTAAGTACCTTTCAGACCTACGTATTTCTGTAATACTCCATGTGTTATTTCACTGCCAAACAGAACATGGTGTAAATACATCTTACCAGCACAGCGGGTATCAAACAGTCCTAGTCCATCCTCATCTGCTGCCATGATACAAACTCCCTACGGCTTCCCCATCTACAAACAAAAGGAAGACAGACAATTGATTAACCAACAATATCAGAACATCATTGCAAAACAGAGGCATACAGAAGAGCAACATTCACACCTGAGATACTTGGTCTTTAACAAAAGACAAAAACAAACTGTCAAAACTCTTACATCAAGGTTAACACGCTTAAAACTAGATCAGGAGTGAAAACAAGAAGCTACCCATCCCATAAAGAACCATTCTGACTTTCAGGGTGAGGTCTTCAGTAGTATCTTCGTTCTCATACACTGAATAAACGTCCTACAAAAAAACTTCGTCATGCGGACGTCCTGCTAACAGGTCTGACCGTATTCCTTCCCCAGCCAGTCATACCACTGCGTAACTCGTATTTCCCTCCTGCTGCCCAACACGCACAAACCAAACCGAGGCGCAGCTCCTTGCCTTCCACCTGAGCCCCGAAGCTCACTCACAGGGCGCGGGCACCCCACGGCAGCAGCGCGGCCCAGCAGAGCAGGCCCCGGTCCCGCCGCCCGTAGCAGCCACAGCCCTTCGGCCTCGCCTCGCCCCACCGCCGCCTCCCGCCCGAGCCCCGTCACGGGGCGCACACAGCGCTCGGGGCAGGGAGGGCCTCCGGGAGCGGCACACCTCAGGCGAGCTGCGCTAGGGAGCAGCAGGGCAGCCCCAGCCAGCCGAACGTGAAGGAAGAGAGCGGTACCCCACGGCGCTGAGAGGAGAGAGTAAATGGGAAAGGAAGAGAGAGAAAAAAAAGCCCGCACACACCGGTCAGCCCCAACCCGCGACGCCCCACAGGCCGCCGCCGCCGCTGGTCCTGCAGGCCGGGCGCCGAGGGGGCGGAGCTTCCAAAGGCGGCAACCAATAGCAGCAAACGCAGCGCACGTCCGCAGCCGCGACGTCCACAAACCCGACCCCCAACTCTGAGCAGTTGGCGCCAAAGTGAGGAGCGCGAGGCGTCCGCGCCCCGCCCCCTGGACGAAGCCCCGCCCACCCGCTCTGCTGCGCGGCCCGGCCCGGCCCCGCCCCCGCTTCAGGTGACGCCGGGCTCTGGGTGAGGTGCTGCGGTGCTGAGCTGCTTCCATTCGGAACTCGGCCGCTTCTGCTGATCTGCGTTGCTCCAGATCTGAAGGGCCTGAGGGCGGCTCGTGGCTTTGCCTCCTACAGGTGCCATCGCAGGGCCTCCTGTGACTGACGGGACGGCCGTCTCAGCGAACAGTGCAGCACAATCAGCAAAGCCCCGCGAACGGGAGCTTCGACCCGGATCCCGCAGCGCCCTGCCTGAGTAGTACGGCAGTTTGGGGACTACATATCCCAGCATGTAGCGGGCGCCCGTTCTTCCGGCAGCTCCGCGCCCGGCGGAGAGCTGCATGCTGGGAGCTGTAGTTTAGCTCGCGTGCGGGGCCGGCCCGCGGCGTCGCTGACGGATGACGGCACCGGAAGCGGAAGTTGGGAGTGAGGTGCGCGTCCCTCGCGCGCCCCACGTGTCGCGCGGCGGCGGCCGGAGGTCGGGCGTTCCGCCTCCGCAGCCCCACCGGCCCTAGCATGGCCGACCTGCGCTTTCACCTAGCTGAGCCGCTGCAGCTGGTGGCGCGCAGGAACGAGAAGAGCGGCGCGGAGCTGAGCAGGTTCCTGGGCAAGCAGGTGAGTGGGCGGGGGCCGGAGGGCAGGGACGAGCCATGCCCCCTTCCTAGCCTCATCTCCCCACCGCGCCGCCGTGTCCTCGCTTGGGCTCTTGGCTGAAGCTGCCCTCTGCTACGTAGAGGTTTCTTTATCCCACTTCTTTTCCCCGCTCCCGTGTCGCCTCTTCCCCTCATCAGGACGTGTTCTGCCCAGCAAAGCTTCGGGATTTTCCGTATCCCTCAGGATGGCTCAGTGGGAGGGTGGCAGTGAGGGACAGCAGTCACGAGCCGCGTAGCGACGACATCCCGTCCCGCAGCTGGGTGTTCTGCTGCCGTGTTCACCTTAAACCAGCGTGTGGAGTGGGAACGGGACTGGATATCCTGCGGGGTGTTTCCCTTATTGCCGCGGTGATGTTGAAGGCACGCACTTTGTTTAGTGGCTTTCACGCTTCAGCTCCACGAGCCGTGAATAGCATGCCTGCTTTTAGCAGCACAGCTTGCCTGTGTCTGTGGTGCACCTGTGGAGGTGTAGCGACAGGATAGCAGCACATCGGGTGCTGTGTTATTGATGCTATACACACCAGAGTTTCTGGAGACCCTAAGTAATATGCATGCGTTGATTCAAAATGTGTTTTCTTTTGAGTGTCTAGAAAATCACAGAATCATTAAGGCTGGAAAAGAGCACTAAGATCACCTACTCCAACCATCAATCCATCACCACAGTCACTAACCTGTTCCTCAGTGCCATACCTGTGTGGTTTTTGAACACCACCAGGAGCTTTGACTCCACTACCTCCCTTGGCAGCCTTTGCCAATGAAGCACCACTCTTTCTGAGAAGAAATTTTTCCTAATAACCAGCCTGAACCACCCCTGGCATAACGTAAGGCCGTTACCTCTCATCCTATCACTGTTACGTGGGGGAAGAGGCTGACATCCACCTCATTCCAGCCTCCTTTCAGGTTGTTAGTATGCGATAAGAGAGTCTGCCCGGTGCCTCCTCCAGACTGAAGAATCCCAGTTTCCTCAGTCTCTTATCATAAGACTTGTGTTCCAATATTCCTGCTGTTTAAGGGTGAAAAGTAACCATATTTTTTCAAAACATTGACTTTTTCACTCCAAATTCTTGTCTTGCTAGGTGAGAGTCTTTTATATGGATAACCAAAGCTCTCTGTTGGTGGAGAGGCAGCAGATAGGTGGAGTGGTGAACAGGGAGTAAGTTCTGGGACTGCTAGAGAGCCTGAGCCCCTTTCTTTTCATAGGTGCACTGGGGAAGGTGTGTGCTTTGAGTGTGAAACTCTCACCAGCTGGATCCTATGCAGAGAGTCTGGAAGAGCACTTTAATCAGCAATGGCCCATTTTCTTGAAAACTGTATTTCATTTTCAAGCTTTGAAGCTACGGATTAAGGAGTACATTATACTTAGTTTGCCGCTAGACAACCATAGGCTCCAGTTATTTTACCTGATTTTCCTGTCAGTATGTAACATAGGAAACAACATTTATTCTGGATATTTAGAGCCCTTTGCTATGTCTTTTTGGCCTTATTCAGTATTCCATAAAGTGTTACTAATGAAACTTGCCCACAGCCTAAAAAACAATTTTTGAGATGTGTGATAAGGTGATATGTCTGGTGATGAAGATCTTGCTTTAGTAGGATACAGAAATAGAGCCTTTGACGTAGAATATTAATATACCATTAACTCTGTAAAGGTACAGGAAATTTCTGGGTTGTTAATGAGGAAAATGGGATGAAAATGGGACAAAAAGATCTCTAAAATAGTGTTTGTTTGGTTTTTTTAAATGACTTGCTATTTCAGATTAAGCTTATACTTATATGCCACTGTACATTTCTGTACCATCTAGAAAAAATTCAGCTTTACAAAGTGTCAGAGTTTGCTTCTATGTGTTGTTGGAGGCCTATTTAAATCCAGTATGTCTTCATCTTTAGTATTGCAAGTGCAGACTGTGTGTGCAAATGGGCATATTTTGGCTCTCTGTAGTAGTGTAATATCAGTGAAGATGTTCATTATATGTGAAGAGTGAAAGAGTCGTAGGAAGGGAACAGTGCAAAAATATCCTCATTCCTTTATGTTCTTTACATGCCTCAGAGTTTTAAGCATTGCACAAATAGTGTAAGATAAAATTCGAAAAAAAAGACCCTTATGGTTGTTTTCTTTGTTTATTTTATGGAACCATCTGTATCTCACATTCTATTTTACTATTTTAGTTGCGCATCATTTTGCCATTCTTTTTCCAATTTAAGAGTGAAAACTGTATTAATAACAGCTCCGACATTGTATTTATAGTCCTCTAATTTTAGGACTTTATGGCAAGATATGCCTTTGTTCCTTTATTTTTTAGACAGATGCAGAAAAATGAGGTGACCTGTGCTGATTTTACCCAGTTACTCAGAAAAATGTCCTGATAATTAAGGCAGACTACTGTTTCCTAAAATATAGCTCCAGCTATATTTTAATTAGGCTTACAAGATGTAGCATTATAAGTAAGGGAAGGTATTTTGCACTTTCTGCCCTGGTGTGGATTTTCATGTTCTGTTTCTAGTTTTGAAGAGCTGTTATTTTTGTGAGACAGTATGTTATGACCTGTTAAAGAATACATTGGTAGAAAAGTCAGAATGTCTCTGTAGCCTGTGCTGCTGTGTTGAGCATGAAGTGCTGGAGGAGGCGTAGGATAGTTCTGCCTTATTTTGCAGGAAACTGAAGTTACCTTGTTTTCTTTGTGATGCTGCACAATCCTCCTTTCATCTTGAAGCATATGGCTTAGAAGAGTGCAAGTTTTCTCCTTACTGAATTAAGGAGGGATACCTGAAAGCTGTGACCAGGGGGGTGGCTGTCCTGTGGACTCAGGTTGTTCCCTGCTGTGATGTTCCCCTGCTGTGAAAGCTCCTACTCTGGAGCTTTGGACTCAGATCTTAATAAAGACTTCTGTACTCAGTGGGCAACCACACAGTGCAGGTTGACTTACTGCTGGGTGAGCAGTCAGGTGTCATCTTTAATTCCAGGACTTGATCCTGACTTTTCTTCTCCTTAGTGTCTGTTCTGTTAACAGTGCATGTGTTTATTGGATATTTGGTGGGAATGTTGCTTACAGTGCTTTTTGGGCAGAGTTACCATCCTGGACTCAAACACTAATACTGAACGCTTGCAGATCAGCTGTCCTTTGCTACTGAGAAAGTTGTGTATTTCACAAAGCTACCCTTCATTATAAATCCCTCTACATATTATGTTTTTCCATAATGTTTTTCATTTATACTGAAAGGCTCTAGCATCAAATACACAGTTTCTCTGTAGAATGAGAATGTTGCCACTCTGTTTTTTTTCTTTCTTTCTTTTATGCTTTATATCACTTTTGTATATCCTAAGGCTAATATAGATGATGATTTAAAAAAAAAATCACTTGCTCTCACAAAATTTGTAATTGATTTGGTGCACAGTAGTCAAGTACCTAGAGAATATTACCTAATGAGACTGATCCATTACAGTTATTTGCTGCTTTATTGTTAATTGTTCCTTCTATTTGATACTAAAAGCTCTGGTTAATGAATTAAGCACCCTGTTGTGCCTTGTTTGGGTAGCCAAAGGCATGTTTGATTAGGAAGCAGAAGGTACTTGTTATCTACTTGCTATTGTTATTAACCACTTGAGATTAATTTGATAGTTTTAATGTTTGTAATGTATATTTCGGTTTCCCTGATTTCTTACATGCTGAATGAGTGAAGTCTTGCAGCTTGAACCTATACATGCTAAGTGGATGTCAACTGTGGTAAAACCTTAGGAGATCACCTTTGGAAAGCTGCTTTCAGGAGTTCTTGTAGCAATGGAATGATCCTGTCTGCATGCACAGCAGCAAGTTTTACACAACTAACAAAAGTCCAGGGCAGGCAGGAATTGACAGCACGTGTTGCTAAAATGAGGCTATCTGAATTGCCAAGAGTGTTTCCATAGAAGTTCAGTAAGCGACTGTTTTCTCTGGAAAGCTTCCCTGCCTACCTGATATTTACTGCTGTTTGACAGGAAAGAGGAAATAGTGGTGATGTGAGTGTTTACTCAGTGCAGAAGGGGAGGGTGGAAGGTCAGTGTTGAGAGCAAAACCACTTTAGTGCAAATTCATGATCTTCATTTTTTCCTAAGTCAAAGCACTACTATATGCTAAACATCACCAAAGTGGAATTGTGTTTGGTAATGGCATTATGTCAAAGACAGAGAAACTTAAGCTTAAATACACAAGAAACTGTGGTTCTTTGGTAACAAAGTTTGGAAGATTGTGTATGTTTTGGTGTTTTATTTCTGCCTACAGTAGATCAGAATCTATTCTGTGTATATTCTAAAGCCTAACATTCTACTTTGCTTAAAGGAACGTTTTTATACAAGAGTAAGAAAAAATCTCAACTCCAACTTGCAGATGTATGCTTTTTGTCATTGTTCATCATAACGGCTTCTAATAGGAAAGTAACAACTAAACTTTTTTGAGAACTTGAATTTGTAATTTTTTATAATTCCTATTTAGTGGTGTCATTTTTCATGACACTCATCTTATTTCCTGTTTTTTAAGTATGGAGAGCTGTATCAAATAAGTTCTTCCACCGTGTGTTTTCTTCCTGTTCACTATGAAACCTATATGAATAGTTCTGAAACTAAAAGTCTATATAATTTCCCTTTTAACCAATTCCTTCTTTCTTTTTTTCTCTAGACTTGGACTCAGCAGGACCGACAGTGCATCCTTGATACTCTAGCACTGTTATTACTGGATAAAGAATGCACTCTATTAATAGGCCGTCAGCTTCGTCCAGTCTTGCTGGACTTGTTGGAACGAAATGCAATTGCCATTAAAGCTGGTGGCCAAATCAACCACGATCGGCATGAGAGGCTGTGCGTAGCCATGAGCAAGCTGGTTGGTGACCATCCTGATGTTTTGCCGTAAGTAACATAGTGCTTCAGAGTGTGTGCTTGCCAGTATTCACTGGTGATGGGAGGTGTTGTTATAGTGCTTCGGCTTGTCTTTTGCAGTAACAAAAGTCCTTTCAATTGAAAGAATGACTTACAAAACACAAGTTTTAAGGAGTGCTTCTTTAAATTCAATTATGAGGTAATATCTAACGTGACTTTTACCTTAGGTCATTTAATCAGAGTGAAAGCGAAACAGTTGACTTTATCTGCTAACAAGCAAAATGTCTGTATTTAATTTAGATCTGTAGGCTGGTAGAATGGAAAGCCGCCTACCACAGTTAGTGCTGTTTCCCCTTACTAATCAATAATAATCTCTAAAGCATCTGTTGTAAGCTGGTAGTTGAAGTGGTTATCTTTCCCAAGCATGGACGAAGTTAAATACAAGCTTCATTAACACTGTGTCATCAGTTACTGTTTCTGGACCTTTGAATGGAAACATTAATGAGTATTTTCCTTTGCTCTGACTTAGATGTCTCTCTTTCTCTCTCTTTTTTCTTTACAAAGATTTGCTTTAAGATATTTTAAGAACACATCACCAGTTTTCCAGAGGCTTTTCCTGGAGAGCTCAGATGCAAACACAGTCCGATATGGGCGCAGACGAATGAAGTTACGGGACCTCATGGAGGCATCATATAGATTTTTACAAAAGGAACAATCGATTTTCCGGGAATTATGGGACTGGAGCGTGTGTATTCCACTCCTAAGGAGTCATGACACTTTGGTCCGTTGGTAAGTTCAAAAATTTCAGATCTTTTCTGTAGAAAAGACAGCTGTACCTTGAATTCAGAAAGTGTGGGAGTAAGAGTTTTGACAAATATAACTGCCAGGATGACATGCATTCAGCTATTTAGCATCTTTATCAGTGACATAGATGATGGGACTGAATGCACCCTCAGCAAGTTTGCTGATGACACCAGGCTGAGTGATGTAGTTGGTACAGCACAAGGAAGGGATGCCATCCAGAGGGACCTTGATAAACTCGAAAAGTGGGCCCTTGTGAAACTAATGAGGTTCAACAAAGCAGAGTGCAGGTTTTTGTACTTGGGTTGAGGTAATCTCAGCTGTGTATACAGTCTGGGAGAACTCCTTGAGAGTAGTCCTGCTGAGAAGGACTTAGGGGTGTTTGGTTGAAGAAAAACTTAACATGGGCCAGCAGTATGCTCTTCTGGCCCAGAAAGCTGGTGGTATCCTGGATTTCAACAGAAGAGGGGTGGCCAGCAGGGTGAGGGAGATGGTTGTCCCTCACTACTCTGTCCTCGTGAAGCTCCAGCTGGAGTAGTGCATCCAAGTCTGGGGACCCCAAAACAGGAAAAATGTGGAGCTTTTGGGGTGGGTCCAGAGGAGGGCCATGAATATGATTCAAGGGCTGGACCACCTCTACTATGAAGATAGGCTGAAGGAACTGGACTATTCAGCCTGGAAAAGAAAAGACTGCAGGAAGACAGTGTTGTATCCTTTCAGTATTTAAAGGAAGTTTATAAACATGAGAAAAAACAACTTTTTACATGGGTAAATAGGAGTAGAATAAGGCGGAATGGTTTTAAAATAAAGGCAGGAAGATGTAGGTTAGATGTCAGTAGTAACTTTTTTACTGAGTCAGTGGTGTCGTGCTGAAATATGTTGCCCAGAGAGGTTGTGAATGCCCATTCCTTGGAGGTGTTTAAGGCCAGATTGGATGGAGCTTTGAGCAACCTGGTCTAGAGGGAGACATCCCTGCCTATAGCAGGGGGTTGGAGCTAGATGATCTTAAAGATCCCTTCCAACTCAAACCATTCTATGATTCGTTTGTTGTGAGGCAGCTTTATGTTATTGTGAAGCAAAGAATAGAGGAGTTGTTGTAGTCCTTGGCACTGAGTCTTGAGTTCAGTGTATTATGGTTAATTTAGAAATAACATGAAATTGCAGATTTGAAGGGGTAGAGTGATCATTTGAATGGGAAAATGGGAAGAAATAGCTGGGCAGAGAAAACGTAGTTTTCATTGTTTTATATCCTTACCTTCATTTGTTTAGGAAAGTCGCAACTTCTACTGTATTTCTGTTTTTTCAGCATTCAGAGGAATGTTAGCTAGTCAATATGTTAATAATACATTATGTAATGACAGAATTTCTTTTCTCTGGAGAAATATATCAGAAAAAAATAATTTAAAATGTTAAGCATAGCTTTAAAAATAATTTCTAAAGAGAAAGTTATCTTAATATTTTTCCAAAATTGGTATTTCGATTTGCAAGTAAGAGTTGTCAAGCTGAATGTTTTACAACATGTTTTGTTCTAAATATAATTTTTAGGTATACGTCAAACTGTCTAGCTCTGGTTACATGTATGAACGATGAACATAAGTTGTCTTTCATGAAGAAGATCTTCAGTCCTGAGGAGCTGACACATTTCAGACTAAAGTAGGAACTTTTTCAATAACGAACAAAGTTGATTTGTTGATGACTTTCACTTGAATTAATATACATGAATGTGGATTTGACAGGCTACTAGAAGAATCTCAGGTGCAGAATGTGGAACAAGCCCTTGTTTTGGCCAATCCAGACTCCTCATTTTGGCAAAAGGAGAAAGAAGTGCAATATAAACAAGGTCATATTGTATCGGGTGACCTATCTGCAAATGTAGTAGCTGTATGTGGTATTGTGCTGCCTAGACTAAAGCTTGTCTCTGAAGAACAGCAGGTATGTAACCCAATGTGATACATGATATTGGATCTACAGGGAAGTTTTGCTGTGGAATGAAACAGTGAAAGTATAATCAGGCTTCCAGTACCTGAAGGGGGACTACAGGAGAGCTGGTGAGGGACTTCTTATAAGAGCATGTAGTGACGTGATGAGGGGAAATGGTTCTAAACTGGAGAAGGATAGATTTAGACTAGATATTAGGAAGAAATTCTTTACTGTGAAGGTGGTGAGATACAGGAACAGGTTGACCAGTGAGGTTGTGGATGCCCCCTCCCTGGTAATATCCAAGGCCAGGCTGGGTGGGGCTTTGAGCAAACTGATGTAGGGGGAGGTGTCCCTGCCTAAGCAGGGGCTTGGAACTAGATGAACTTAAAGGTCTTTTCCAATCCAAACCATTCTGTGATTCCAATAGTCCTGTTGATCTCATCTTCTTTGTAGCAGTACTTAAGAATATGCTATAAGAGAAGTAGTGCTTTGTGCTATACAGGGATATGATTGATAACCTTTATCTGAAGTTATGTCCTTAAATGAAAACAAGGCTGCTCCTCACTCTTCTAGAAGGCAGAATAAAGGGATTAAGGAAGAACTTACTTTCTACATTTCACACTTGACTGAAGTGTGATGCAGAATGTAGTGTAGTGCTTTACAGTTTTAACAAAACCATCAAATGCAATAGTATGTTTAAGTAGCATTTCTTCTGACCTTTTTTTTTTTTTTTGAGATGCTATTAATCTTGAACTGTTCAGGTTCTTTTTTGTAGCTGCAGTCAGTATTCTTAACTAGTTTTCTTATTAAGGCATAATTTTTGATTGTATTTGGCCTGAGTATGGTTACTTAATTTTGTAATGCATTTACAAATGAAGGACGAAGAGGTAAATGAAGACTGCTAATTTCCAGAATTCCCTGAGTAGCAGAATGAGAGCTTTTCCCTCACTTTTTTTTTTCTTTTGCCCTTTGTTTCTGTGAATTTACTGTCGTCTTTTAACTATGTGTGTGTGTATACATAGAATTGAGTACATGGTTTGAAATTCATTGCAGCAGGGAGAAACTTTTGGAACAGTCTTTGTGCTATATGCTGACATATTAGTGAGTTAGAATGATTACAGTATTTGGGGACATCTGTCACTGATGAACTAATCTTCAATAAACTGTATCCATTGCAGTTTGAATGAAGCAAAAAATTATTCTGAATTTAATTACCCAACCTCCCATGCATTGTGTTTAATGACCTTTTACTTTGGCTTGTGCAGCAAGAAGCAAATACAGCACATCAGTTTTTATGTTCATACATAACCTGAGTCTAACTGCTATTTGATTTTATTTTTTTAATTGGGATCCATTCTGATGACTTAATTTCATTTGTATTACAAATTGTATTTGATTGACATGAATGTTATGATTGAATAGTTACTGTGTCTGCTGACAATTTAGTGTGAACTCCCTTTGAGAACAAATTGTACATATACTAAATTAAGTGTTTCACCTATAACAGGTTTTTAATGAAGTCTATTTTAATATCTGTCATTAAATACAGTCTTCATAGTCCACAGATCTAGGAAGCTTAATTTTAGTTGATGTGTGTTGACAGGATCTGTAGGCTAAAATTTTCTGATAATCATACTTGCTTTTATAATTGTTCTGTGTAGTAAAACCTGTGTATAGAAAGAAGCTCTTTCAGTATAGTAACTCAAATTTTGTTTTAACAGGAAAATACCACCAGCCATTTTGTTTTGGTTGAATCTGCTTGCACTAATCTTCAAAACCTTGCTATTGCTGTAGCATTTCAGAGTCCTGTTTTATTGGAGGGACCAATAGGATGTGGCAAAACTACTTTAATTGAATATTTAGCAGCTGTTACAGGAAGAACAAAGCCTCCTCATATTTTGAAAGTCCAACTGGGGGATCAAACTGATAGCAAGGTAACCGATGACATTGTTTTGTGGTAGGATGATCAGACATTATTTTTAAAGTATGGACTTGCTTTTCTAATAAGATAATGTATAATTTTTTTTGCTAAGACCTCACAACCTTCAGCTTCTTACAATATTGTTCTGGCTATTGTTGAGAACAATAAGTTTGAAGAAAAATCAATTCAGCTTCATTATTATTTAAATTTTGCACATAATTGTGTATTATCCATTCTGTTTTAAGCTATGTGTTTGTCAGGGTTTTTCCTATGTTTCCTGTGTTATGCTGTTGATTTTCTCTGTCAGTTACAGTGGCATACTATGTACATAGACATCTAATTACCTGGTTCATTTTTGTTACAGTGCTTCAGTTACATTTTCATAGATGTGGAGGAATGAATGTGTAGTGATGAACCCATATTACTAGGATTAACAGGTGGATTACTAGGATTAAGAGTGTTATTTCTGTCTCAGTTTTGGTCATTTTCACTTTATATTATGAAGGCATGTAATAAACAGGTCTCTAATTTACCACTTGTTTCTGTTATAGACGCTGCTTGGTATGTATCGTTGTACAGATGTCCCAGGGGAGTTTGTTTGGCAGCCTGGAACCTTGACACAAGCTGTTACCAAGGGTCATTGGATACTTCTTGAGGATATTGATTATGCTCCTCTGGATGTGGTATGTAGATTCTTGTTCACTATAAAGTGTTTGTTTTAGGGCTGTATTAGCAATTTTTGGATTCCAGTCACTGCGAGTTCTGTGGCAATTCACTGAAAATAAAGCTTCTTCAACAGAGGAAAAAAAAATACTGGCCTGGCTTTGTTCAAAGATAGTTACACTGCAATTGTTGTCACTGCTTTAGAGCAGTCATAACACTGCCCCTGATTTCACTCTGAAGAATTGCAGTGGTGCTGGTGATGAGCTATGTCTCTTTTAAATGGTGTTCCAGTGTGTCAAACAAATATGATTCCAAAAACCACAGAATATCAAAGTCACTGTATTAGGTTGCTGTTGATAGTAAAATTTTTTCTAGTGTCTTTTTTAAAAATATTTTTTTCTGTTGGTCCATATTTCTTTCTTCTAGCTTGGTTATTAAAAATATACTGTTATATTAACCACTATTGATTTTAATTGATTTCCTGTATTCAAATTCAGAGCTGGTACTTGTTAGGAATGTCATCCTTCTCCTAAATAACAGTTGCAGAAATCCTGTCTCTTGCAGAAACAATGTTACAGAGTTGTTTTCCTATATAGGCCTACTGGACATTCTGCAAACAGTTGTTTTCTTTTATATCTGTTTTGTAAAGCATCCTTTATGCAACTAACCAACCTGATGTCTTGCTTATTGGGTTCCAAGCTTACAAAGCATAGTGAATTTATAGAAACACCTATAAACATCACATATGTATTATACAGTTTTTTAGTTGCCAGAGGCTCCTGCAGTTCTTTGCTACTGTGACATTGCATTCATAAACATGCCCCGAGTAGTGTCCTACATTCATCTCTTTTTCTTCTGGTCTCCCCTGGAGGCATCTTTTTTTTTTTTTTTTTTTTAAATATCTAAGTTCTGTGCTTGCCTTCCTCCCTGCTGAAGCAGTATTATGGAGCTACCTCCCTTTTCTTTTATTCCACCATTACTACTGTCCTTCTGCATGGAAGGATAGATTCTTTAAATACATACCTTGCTCTTCTGGAGAGTAGCAGGATATACATTATAACAGTGTTAATGTTTTAGAATGATATCTTTGAGATTAATATTGTCTTTGTTCAGGTAGATAAAGAAAGCAAACCTTCTAACACTTCTGAGAACAAGGTCAGTCATTTGACAACTCAAAACCATTAGTTTTAGTTTGGATTTGCAATGAAAACTGTCATTTCCATTCTCATGTTAAACCTGAATGGAGGAGATAGAAGGTAGGGAGGGAATCATACCTGTGACTTCAATTACTGAATAAAATTAATCGAGACTCAGTGATTCCTGTTAGTATCACTTAAAAGTTCAGTGTGCAGGAAAAACTTGCTGACAATGTAGTGAGGCTCATTGGTTAAACATTTCATATGTGGATTGAGTGTGACCGGCTAGGATGTTTATTAATGTTTCTCCACCCAAGAAAAGAATGCTTCATAGAGTTTCTTTTCTTCTCCAGATCTCTGTCCTGATTCCTCTTTTGGAAAAAAAGGAGTTGCTAATTCCTGGTCGTGGTGACTGCTTGAAAGTAGCACCGGGATTCCAGTTTTTTGCAACCAGGAGGTAAGCAAGTAAATTTAAATGAGTTATTACGAACTGTCATATTCTTAAGTCAAAGACAGCAAGTTTAAAAGTTGGTCTGTAATTGTTCCAATAATTTCCAGCTATAAGGGGATACAAGCTATGGAAGTTGTGAAAGGGACTTTTTCCATTTTAAAGGAATGTTATATTACTACTGGGTAGAGCCAGTCTTTGAACAGAAAAACCGCTTCAACAAAGCTAAAGGTATAAAACTTCTGGAGAAAAAAAGCTATTAAATCAATTCCACCCCATAACAGAATACCACTCTTCGTAATTACTGTGTGAGGAATGTTTGTGATTGATACTCACAAGGTATCTTTGTATGTTGCATACGATAGGCTTAAGTTAATGTCAGTCATTTTTGTGCAGGATTCTTTAAAAAGATTTTACAGTAGAAGAAAAAAAAAATGGTGATAAAAGAATAAGTGATTTGGAAAGCAGTGAAAGGCAAGGTGTGCATGACAGTACAATGACAAATGAAGGGTAAACGGAATCACAGAATGGTCTGGGTTGAAAAGAACCTTAAAGATCATCTACTTTCAACCCCCTTGTTGCTAACACTAGACCAGACTGCACAGAGCTACATCCAGCCTGGCCTTGACTGCCTCCAAGGATGGGGCATCCACAGCCTCCTTGGGCAACCTGTTCCAGTGTGTTACCACCCCCTGGGTGAAAAACCTCTGGCTAATATCTAACTTAAATCTCCCGTTTCAATTTAAAACCGTTCCTCTTTGTCCTATCGGTTGTTTCCCCTCCTGTTTATAAGCTCCCCTCAAGTACTGGGAGGCCACCATGAGGTCTACCCCAAGCATTCTCCAAGCTAAACAATCCCAGTTCCCTCAACCTTTCCTCATAGGAGAGGAGCTCCAGCCCTCTGATCATCTTAGTGGCCATCCTCTGGACCCACTCCAAGAGCTCCACATCCTTCCTGTACAGGGGGCCCAAGGCCTGGATGCAGTACTCCAAATGGGGCCTCAGAAGAGTAGAGGGGGACAATCACCTCCCCCTCCCTGCTGGCCACCCCTTTTTTAATGCAGCCCAGAACACAGTTGGCCCTCTGAGCTGCAAGCGCACACTGCTGGCTCATGTCCAGCTTTTCGTCCATCAGGATCCCCAAGTCCTTCTCCGCAGCGCTGCTCTCAAGGAGATCTTCCCCAGTTTGTATAAATACCTGGGATTGCTTCAGCCCAGTTGCAGTACCCAGCACTTGGCCTTGTTGAACCTCATTACGTTCACATGGGCTCGCTTCTCCAGCCTGTCCAGGTCCCTCTGGATGGCTTCCCTTCCTTCCAATGTATTGACTGCACCACTCAGCTTGGTGTCATCTGTAAACTTGCTGGGGGTGCACTAGATTTTATCATCTATGTTCTCAATAAATGTTGAAGAGCACCAGTCCCAAGACCAACTCTCAGGGGACACCGCTTGTGACCGGCCTCCACCCAGACACAGAACCATTGATCACAACCCTTTGGCTGTCACCAAATATAGGCATACATGTTATCCTGTCAAAACAGTGTTTAATGTGTTCTCTGCACTGAAAATAATGAATTATTTACTAAGATACAATATGTGCATTTCTTCATGTTATTTTTATTTAGAGTATTCACTTGTGGCGGAGGTTGGTACAGACAGCAAAGCAGCCATGCTGCTCTTTTGGACAAGTATTGGACCAAAATACATATGGATAACATGAGCAAAGTAGAACTCAAGGAGGTATGATATGTTTTGCTCTATTGTGGCATGTGAAGATATTTTAATTAAGGACAGTAGATGATTTTCAGTAATAAATTCGATCCTTACTTTTCTCTGCAAGTTCAGCAATACACACACGCTCTTATTACTTCAGAAATCTGTCAGTTTTGAAGTAAATGGTTAGTTTGATCAGAAAATAAGAAGTTAATTGTACAGAGATTGTTGGAATTTTGCTTTGAATGGATCTAAGAATCAAATTACTTTGCCTTTTTGTAGCCCACAGAGATTTAAAAAAATGTGGGGGGAGGCTGGGTAATGGATCTTATTACAATCCCAAGTCCTAAGTTTTGAGATGAAAAGTAGTTGCTAAGTTATCCACTACAAATGTCTGTTTCTAATAACATCTTTTGTTAAAATTTCTAAGGAATTTTTTTTGCTTAGTTTAGTCCATCTGCAAATTAATTGCCCGGGGCTTATGTGAAATAGAATTCTCTAAACAATTTTCTTTGAGCTTGAAGCATTCAAATTGTAAAAGAGCCTTACTGAAGTGAAAAGAGGGTGAATTATCTCTAGCAGAAAATTTGAGAGAAACTTATGAGTGATCTTAAAATATCAGTGTGTTTTCCCATTTTGTCATTTACCAGCTAATTATTAATAATGGGGCAAGAGCAGCACCTTCTGCTGTCCTGTCCAGAAGTCAGTTTGACAGGGGAAAATCAGTACTGGTTCCTGGCCTCTATCTATGAAAAACTCTTCTTTGGAGCACTGATTTTGGTTGGCAAGCTTTAGCAGAGAGCTGAGCTGAAAGGAAATCAGAGAAGAAAACTTAGTTCCTTGTGTATCTTAATCAGGGTAGTAAGTAGATAACTCAAAAAAGTTGTCATAAAGTGGAACAGGAGAGAAGACTTTCTGTGACAAGTTTTAAAGTTGTTTCTTCATGACTTGAGTTTATAGATAGAGTGGAATGTAGTTTCATTCCTTCTGTTGCTATTTGTGCAAGATATTAAATGAATTGCAGTAGAGTTTAATGAGCATAATTCTCTTGGCATCCAAACTGACATTTTAAAAATCACAGTGACTTAAATTTGATTAAGAAGAGAGAGATTACAAAGGACTGTTTTTTTGCAGCTTGCTGCCTTTGAGTGTTGGTTCTGTTGAACTGCATCCTCTTGAAATTTGCCAGGCTGATGGCTTCTTTCCGATGATTAAGGTTTACTTTTTTTTTTTTTTTTTTTTGCCATTTTTTTCTTCTTTCTTTTTCTGCTTTCAGATTCTTCAAAGCAGATACCCCAACCTTGCTCTTGTAACTGATCACTTGCTAGACATCTTCATTCACCTTACGGGAGAGAAATATCAGGCATCAGAAAACACTGATTGTGATTCCAGGCCCATATCAGAAGATGCATCAGAATCAAGATCAGAAAATAAGAAACCAAACCTGGAAGGACGAGAACTTTCTCTGAGGTTGTGTATTCTTATAAATTTATCAGGAAGAAATTTTATCAGCTAGCTGTGGTGTTCAGGTGGCTTTACATTTTTAAACTTTTTTCTTTTAGCAATGTTAGAAATTCAAATAATAAAACTGAAAATGGGAAGAGTCAGTTTTGAATTATAAAATTACGTTTACTGTATCTTGAAAAAGAAAGTCTCAATTTAAATTGTTTCCTTTACGTTCCTATTATACTTAAAAAGATTTTGTTGTTGATAATGATCTGATATCTGTAAAGTAGTTCTCGATACCTTTCTGGGTGAATAGCATTGCTGGTTTTCATGTTTTCAGTTTCATAATTGATCACAATAATGGTTTAATGGAATACGTATTATCTACTTCCAAGCAACCTTTTAGAAGGCAATAGTGTTTGTCTTTATGTGCTCATCTATTCCTTTAAATATAGCATTCTTTTTTGTGTGTGCCTTCCTGTGTACAACTTAAATAATAACTAGGTGTGGAACTGCCAGATGACATAATGAACTAAGCTGAACATGAGAAAAGATGCTGTGAATTTTGACTGTTATACTAAATATTTTTCTTTTTAGAGACTTATTGAATTGGTGCAGCAGAATTGCTTACAACTTTGACAGTTCTTCCTCAACCACAGCAGTGAATATTTTTCAGGAGGTGCGGTAAGATTTAATCTGGAAATTGCTTTCCCAAATTGCGTCACAAATCTTAAAATACACTGTTTGGGAATGTGAGACAGAAATTTCTATTTGAATATTTATTTATATTCATTGGAAGCAATTGAACCGTGGTTGGGATGTTTGTCTTCTGTGTGTTAGAAGCTTTTCTTATTATTAAGAAAGCTCTTTGTATTAGGGTGCTGGAAACCAATCCAGACTTACTGTTGCCATGCAGAAAGCATGATGCAACAGTTTCAACTGATGTGAGCTGGGATTGCAAGTGGCTGGGGAAATTTTACTTTTCATTCAAGCATTTGTTTTATTTACTTGTATTGCACATTGTGTATGCACAATGAAAAAGGCTCTAGGCTTAGTTGAGGGAGTATTTAAAATACTAGATGTTCTTGATGTTTCCTACTTGTTGCTCAGGAGCTGTGTTTATTCCCAAACCTTACTGTAGATGTCTCAGAGAGAGAGTAAATGTTAAATGTATTTATGAGAAATGCTTCCAAAATTAGAGTTAAAATGTGAAATAAAGGATATAACAGTATAGATACATTCAAAACTAGATCTAGAAGCTGGGTTTATTATAAGGAACGTAATCTTCTCTTTTCTACGAAGACACTGCACTGCTTATCCCTTGATGTCATGTCTGCCCAGTGGTGGGAGCTTGTATCTAGAAACAATGCTCAAAAATACTAAGCGTTGTTTCTTTATTTATGTTGGGATAGATTTACATGGCATGTAATAGCTGAAGTGCATTTCTAGATCATTTAAAAATAGCTTCTCTTTTTAAGGTGCCTCTCCTTTGTATTTATGCTTTGGAGACGTAAGATTTTACTCGTCAGTTTTTCACTGTTTAGTTAATGAGGCACTAGTATGCTGCTGCTGCTGAATAAATATATTTTAGGTAATGTGGATATTGGGGCATATAGAGTCAGTATTCAGGTCTGTTCACAGAAGCAGTGGAGCTGTGGTTCTTTTGATGATATGGCTGGTATTGAATCCATGATATGCACTGGATGTGTGTTAGTTGCACAGTGTGTTAAGTGTTACTTGTCTGAATTTACTGAATACCAAGAGTGCTTACTCCCTTCAGTTCCTCTCTCCCAAGTTAGTTCTGGTTGATGTGCTGCATTCTGTGACAGTAGCCCAGCTCAGTGGTGGAGCTTCTTGGCCTTTCTGTTTCAATCTGAGCTGGATCCTGGTGATAGCCATCAGCTCTGTTCTCAGTAATCTTGTATACTTCATGATACTAAGTTACATGAATCTCTCTGTTGGAGTAGATACTTAAATTTGCGGAATAATTTTAAGATTGGTTTTTCTTGAAGTGTGAGACATCCTTCCTACTTCTTTTCTATATTGAGAATTTTTCAGGTATTCATCAGTCAGATGCCTTCCTAAGATATAGGATCTTAAAGCTTTATTTTTTCTTCACTTTGCTCCAGTCATCTAAAAATAGCTTTTGTTACTGGATATTGAAATGTTTTTACATTCAGTAGAAACCACTACATTATAGGGTTCAAAACTTCCTATTTCATCCATTTGAACTGCAGTTAAATAATTATATTTAATTTGTCAGGGTTGGATTCAGCCTCATATGAATTAAGGTAGTGATTCTCATATAATGTAAAATTTGTAATGAAAAAGTTGGTTTGTCTTCTTCTTCACAGGCACTGGACTGTTTCACAGCTATGCTGTCCAACCAAGGAAGCAGACTGAAAATGGCAAAAGTTATTGGCAGTAAACTAAATATTTCCAAGAAGAAGGTATACTGAGCTATAATTAGTTTGACATTTATCAGTATTAGTCTATGAATTGATTTTTTTTTTTTAGTAATTAATTTAAATGTACTGTTCTAATGTTTTCCTTAAAAGTTATACCCATTACTCTACCTTGCACACAGAGGTAGAGTTGTTCTGATTTCTTATTAGCTGTTTTGTTTTTAGCTGTTTTGTCTCTGAAAGTTTCAGTGAATCTGTTACAGAGCACATTGCAAATCACTTAATGCAAAAGGAGCATGACTGCTGCAACAGTGCAGTTATGTAAGCATATAATACTGTGTAAAGGTTTTTGTTTTGCTTTTGTGCGTGGCTCCTCCTCAAGCCCCAGTCATTACAGTGAACTTCAGTCGCTTACATGAAGAGTCTAGAGGGAAACATGTTCTTCCTTATTACTTAATCTGTAATTCCAAAGCTAGAGATACTCCTCTGCAAAGTAGTAGTGTGTGATGTTAGAAGAATTAATCATGCAACACTCCTCCTTCCCCATGGGAGGAGAGGGAAGGTGGGTAGGAAGAGGGAAGAAACTCAGTTGAGATAGGAGAAACTAATTTATTAAAAGGAATGTGACATAATACAGAATAATTAAGAGTAATAAGTCAAAAGAAACCAGAAATAAAACCACAGGGCAGTCAGTGTGATTCTTTATGGGCAGACCCTCCTTGGCTCGCCTCCCAGAAAAGTCAAGAGTTTATCTCTATCCCCGGTCACCCAGAACTGGAAACCTTCTGGAGGCTCCTGGGAAATGCAGTACAACCCAGTGTATCTTCCTCATGGAGGGCCAGAAGTCATGTGAAGCTGCTGGAGAAACCAGGAAGTGCAGCTTCAGTGCACTGAGCCTCTGCACCCAGTCAACCTGTTGTATGATGCCACGATATGGAATACTGATAAAACCAGGACAGCACCTACCCCTTATTCCATATCAATACATCATGCTTGAATTGTACAACACAAATATATACACATAAAGATCATAACAACAATAATTAACATTACATATGTATATACATATGACTGCTTTGTCAGCTATTTCTGACTATTCAGTCATACAAATTTGACTGTGAAGAAAATTCTCTTTTGTTACTTCAGCATGGAAAAACTTTTCAACTAGCAGAACAGATGGATCCCCGAAACTCTTCTGTTTGTTCTGTTCTTCATTGTTTGATAATAGGAATGTGTTGTCCTCTATAACCATTCCTGATTACAGAGAGGTGTTCCTCATGTTTTTATTTTATCTTTTTTTATTTGGAGGGAGTTTGGTTTTTTATTTGTTAAGTTAACCATTCTCAGGTTAAGGTTTGTGTAGTCCAGCTACCATAGTAAACAGAGTAGCATAATGGCATAAAACTCATTACCAAGTTATTAAATGGGGAGGCATTGTTTATGCAGTAGATAATATCCTTCAGGATTTTAGGTGGTAAATATGTAATAATCCATAAAATATTAAATAAGCTGAGAAAAAAAAATATTTGCACATTAATACTGATAGTGTGGCAAGGGTGTTTTCAGCATTATGTTGCATGCAATGTTGCTATTGGAAATCTTGATGCTCTCTTCACAGGTAGAGTTCTTTTGTGAACTCTTCAAACCAGAAATTTTAGTACGGGAGCAAGAAGTTTCTGTGGGAAGAGTGCATCTCATGAAGAAACAAAGCCTGGCTCTTACTGTAAAAAGGTAGAATATCTTGCAGTTTTGCACTGGAAAAGAGTATATTGGAAGTCACATAATTAAAAGACAAAAATCAAGTAATCTCACTCAAATGGAAGAAATGTGACGAGATTTCACTTGTAATCTGAGTTTTACTTTGTGCATCTTTAAGACTGTCTGTGTCGTAATTCTGGCTGCCAAAGCATGGGGATTTTCAGATTCTTTCATATAAGAGTTTCTTCAAAGCTGTTTTGGATCTGTGGTTGTTGTAATTAGATTTTGATGACTCTTTATTTGTGAAGGGAGATCTTTGTAGTACATGACACTAACTCCACTAGCCTGGACCGTTTTTGGACACCCTGAATTTTTAGGTTCTATGTTTAGGAAAGTAAGTATCTTATGTAATGCTTATCAAGATATCTTGGAATTAATTATTTCCAAACCTCTTTTCTAAATCAATAATAATAATCCTGAATTGAACTATTCCTCTAAAAAAATAAGATGGGCAAAATTGAAATGAGCTCCTGGATTAGTCTTGGCTTTGAATGACTTCCTTTATTTTCTCAGAACAAAGCAAACATTTGCTGCCACCCGACCATCTGCAGTACTGATTGAGCAGCTTGCAGTTTGTGTTGTCAAAGGAGAGCCTGTGCTCTTGGTTGGTGAAACAGGAACTGGTAAAACCTCAACTGTTCAATACCTCGCTCATGTTACAGGTAAATGCAATGTGGACACCAACTTGTGCAGACGTTATTTAAGAAACAAAACACAGAAACAAGTTGATATGCTTTCTGTTTCTTTTTAAGGGCACCATCTAAGGGTTGTCAACATGAACCAACAAAGTGACACCGCGGATCTGCTAGGGGGGTGAGTTGTTGATTACTGTTACGTGTTTTTTGCACAACAAATTGGCAGTATAAGAACCACCTTCTAGTGCAAGCATTGTTGCATCGTCAAAGAATTGTTTCAGATGCAGACCAAGATATTTATAATACTTGTTTGCATGCTGAACACTTGCTTTCCTTGCTGTAGAACACAAGCACTTTAACTGAAATGTATGCATGTATGTGATGAAGTAATTTAAAAGCAGAACTCAAGGTCGCTTTAAAAACAGCTAAATTGTTCAGTATAAATCTGATAAAATATGCACTAGGCATATTAGTAGTGGCAGAACTGTTTTACTTACTAGTGCCATTTTGTCTTTTTAAAATTGATTTTATAAGATAGTTTAGATAAGTGCTATTTTTTTTTTCAGTCATTATTTTAGTGGAAAATAAACTTTGTAAACCTGGCTTCTTCAATGCATAATCTTGTTTCAGTGAATGCTTTTGTTAGTACATGCTTGTTTGTCATAGTCACAAAGGAGCAGGAACTAACAAATAATTACTCTTTTCCTTCTGTTCAGTTATAAACCTGTGGATAACAAGTTGATCTGGCTACCTCTGCGAGAGTCTTTTGAAGAACTCTTCTACCAAACATTTTCTAGAAAGAAAAATCAGACATTCCTGGGCCATATTCAGACCTGCTACAGGCAGAAACGTTGGCATGATCTGCTAAAACTAATGCAACATATTCATAAATCTGCTATTAATAAAGGAGCAAAAGAAAGTGCATCTGGTGAGAATTCAGGCTGATTGAACGCAAATATCAGTGGTGAACCGTTACAGACAGTAGACAAGTAGTGTTGAAGTTTTTATTCAATGATTGTCTCTTTATTCTGTCCTTTCTTCTGGTTTTGAAAAACAGAATCTCTTGTCTATAGCCAAATATAGCAAAATACTGTTAGAATAGTCTTTTTTTCCTAACTGATCACTGCTGTCTGCAATGTCTAACAGTAAAGATTGTCTGAACCATGGTGCTCTTGACATTTGATCTCTACTCAGTGTGCTTCTTGTTTGCTGTGTTGGTGAACAGTTGTAGTTGTTTATGTGTCATTCTGGCAAATGGATGCCTTCATACTTTCTCTCAGACCTGGAGTCTTAATAAGTCTCAACAAGTATCACCTATTTTAAAAGCAGGAAAAGCTTTTAGTAATGACTTTAAAAGCTTTCTAGGAGCTTGTTGATGACTTGGTTTCACTGCCTGTTATGTGGACTTGACAAGTGCTTTACTTTGATTTATTATTGTTGTCTGTGAGTAACATTTTTTTCCTCTTTTATACTTGGCAACCAATTTGGGCAGAGGCAGTACTGATAGTTGCCTTTCAAGAAGTGGCTTCTGGTCCTAGATTTAATGAGTGAAATTGTAACTTTCTTTCAGAATGGGCCAAGTGAAATTACTTACGAACCTCTACTCCCCCTTTCTTTTACCTGATTCTTTTGAAGATACAGTTATAAAATTAAATGTACACAACTATCAGAAAAGATGAGAATGTAAGCTCTACTCAGTGTTTGAAGCAGCTTGATAGCATGATAGATGTGGATGTGGCATTAAGAATTTAGTGATAGGAAACAGTACATCAGGCTTGTGGTTGGACTTGATGATTTTTAAGGTCTTTTCTAACCTAAATGATGCAGTGATTCTATAAAATACTGCTTTTAAACACTTTTGTCCTATCCTACTGCTACAAACATAAATTTTGTTTTCCTTACAGGCTCACCGTTAAAGGAAAAGTGGGAGGCATTTGGTCTTAAACTGAATCACGCTCATCAACAGATGAAGATGACAGAAAATGCGCTTCTCTTTGCTTTTGTAGAGGTATTTAGAGTTTTACATTTTCATGCTGGGAAAAATGAGGAGGACTGTTAATAAAACATTGTGATCAGTATTATATAAATAACTTCCTAGCAGGAATCTTAATGTGAATTAAAACTTGTTCCACACAGTTGTTGTGAAACAGAGTGATCTACTTCAGGGGGCTGGTATTTAGATGGAGGGAGAAGAAAAAGAGTGTTTAGTGGTAGCAAGTTGATTTAATGCTGTGTAATAAAGATTAGGACTGTATGATAAAAGGTTATTGACAGTACAGCATATCATGTGCTCAAATTGATAAGATTACAAAATACATCTTGACCAATCTCCAGTAGGATATCCTCATGCACAGGGATTCCACTGAAGTATTTAATAAGAAGAATGTGTGCTATGTATGTATATGGAAGTGATTTGTGTAAGGTTTCAAATCCATGGTATTATTGTCTAATGACACTGTGTGTGATTAGGAAACTATAATGTTTTATGCACAGATGTACTTTGTCATCCTATTAGTCTGAGTAGGCTTTCAAATTTTATAAAATGATCAGTTCTCTTTCTGAAAAGGACTATATAAATAGATGGGGAATGTTTGAATGAGTATAGTTTTTATTTAATATTGTCTAGTTCACTAAAAAATGTAATGCTGCTTTTGTCACTGTTTGGATTTCTTTAGATGAACCAGCTTATGAGTGCTGTCATTGGAGCTTTTGCACCAAAGTGTTAAGTGTAGCTGACAGGCAACACTGTAAACAAGAAAGCCTAGTTCTGTTATAAAGGAACAGATCTAAACGGTGAAAATTGTTTGTCTTTTATGACTTAGAAAATAATTGGTGTTGTTGAGGGAGATTAGTAAAACCGCAGTGGCCATAAAAAGATCTGGGACTGCCTTTTTGTCTAATGAACCCATAGACTGAAGTACAGTATTTCCTATGTGCAGATGATGTATCACTGCTGGTGATATGAATAACAGATTGATCTTATTTTTAGGGTACTCTGGCACAAGCAGTAAAAAAAGGAGAGTGGATTTTGTTGGATGAGATTAACTTGGCTGCAGCAGAGACGTTAGAGTGTCTGAGTGGTTTATTGGAAGGATCATCTGGGTCATTGGTGTTACTAGACAGAGGAGACACAGGTACTTTTTCTGTGCTTTACACTGTGTTTTTCTGTCCAATCTGTTGAATTCCCAATCCTAAATAAATAACAAACATTTACCATTATAGTGAATCAGTGCAGAGTACGTGTTCTTTCTATACTTCACATTTGTATGCAAGAAGTGGGAGTTTAATTCACTGCATCCCAGAAGACTTCAGATAACATATTGTTGTTGCTTTTGCCTATTTGGATTCTACAAGGAATAGGACTCTAGTGCTTATATTAAGCATTAATGTCTCTGAAGAGAATTCAACAGGTGTCATTTTTTTCAGAAAGCTGAGCTAACAAATGATGCAAAGTCACTAACCCTCTGTCTTGTGCAGACCATGCTCCAGCCATTCACAAACCAACAGCTGCGTTGGAAGACAAAAATCCTCACCCCCTTCCTCTGCTCCATTTCATATTGTTTGGCATGATGTATTTTTAGTAGCATAGGTCTTTGACCTACTTGGGTCACAGCCAGATCCCAGATCTAAAAGTGAGCCATAAAACTGCCGAATATTATTTCATAAGCTTACAGCTGGAGACAAATGTTACATGAGCTCCCCAAGCTGTGTTTTCTTCCTGGCTGAGGGAAATGCTTCCCACTGTTACAAAAGAGACAAAAGGAGTTTCATATTGAAGGATTATATGATTTGTGAAATACTGGTGCTGGCTGTTAAGATATCCTGTTATGCACTAATCAAAGATTTCATTTGCTTATGACTGTTGTGTAAAGATACTTCCGCTAAATTATATGGGGTTATTCTCTAAAGAATTATCACCCTGGCATTTGAAGAAGATGTAGTAATGCAGTAATAGAAAACTGGCTAAGAAGAAATCTACCTTATTTAATGTAATAAATATCCTGGGTTTAGCACTAACCTTTTGATTTATGTTTCTGTTCTTCTTTAGAGCCTCTAGTACGTCACCCTAATTTTCGCTTGTTTGCATGCATGAATCCAGCTACAGACGTTGGAAAGCGAAATCTTCCTCCAGGAATACGAAACAGGTAGGGAAAAAAAAGAACTCTCTAACAAAATTCTTAAACTTTGATAAAGACAACGACTTTTAACTTTCTTTGTGAAATGATTCAGCAAAGAATGCCTTATTGGAAGCCTGAGCATATAAGTGTGAATTCTAGCTTAATGTGGCAGATGACTTCCACATCACAGTGAGGGTTTTTGTATGAAATAGGGTCAGGAAAATACTTATGTGAAGTTGCCAAGGATGAACAAGGGGTCTAGCAATAGTAGAGAGTGCTGTCACTGGGGACAGGGTAATAATAATTCTTTACGATTAAATTGTCAATGCCTAGGAGTGCTATTACAGCTTATGTTCCTGGTGGGGATTATAAAGGGAAGTGCTTCATGCCTTCTTGATCTTGGTAACTCAGAACTGTTGATGATTCTTGCAAAAAGCTATATATTCAGACTTATTCACTCAGAAGGAAGGTGGACTACATGGTAGAACAGGTATGTATTTGAAATATTGGATTTAAGGTATTGGAGATGTGGAGAATTCATTCCTTAATAATACCTGCTCCTGAGTGTATGGATTTTCTTGTATTTGATGTATTTTCTCCAATAGCTGTACATGCAGCCCCTTAACAGATTCATAAAGATTGTGTAAAGTGTATATATGCACTTACTGTGTGTAAATAGTCATTTGCTGCTATTGATATACTGCTACTAGCTCCCTGATGTTAATAGTGAGAGGGGAGAGGAAGAGTGTGGTGCAGAAGAACGAATATTTCAGTTTCAGCATAACTCGTTAAGTTTAAATGATTTTATATTTGCAGTTGTCAAAAATGAAATTTTATGTTTTTTTCTATTATTGTAAGATGTCTAAATGTTAGGAATTGATTTGACTCATACAGGTTTACAGAACTTTACGTAGAAGAATTGAGAAATGAAGGAGATTTGCAAATTCTTATAATGGATTACCTAAGAGGCTTGAATGTGAGCAAAAATACAGTACAAGGAATTGTAAAGTAAGTTGCTTGTAATTTCTTGGAATCTTTGCTAGAATAAGGCACAGAAAGGAAACATACAACTAATCTGTGGTTAGAATGTTTTGGGAAACACAGTAATGCTCTATACACAGCAACTGCCACAGAAACAGAATTTGGTAGATATAACTTTCTTAATTCTGTACTCATGGGGAGGAGACTCACTTTTTCTTACTAAGAAATGTATTCTTGGTGACGTCAGTTAAAAAAGCACTCTTGTTGCAACTTTCTTTCCCATCTTAGTGATGAAAATGGTTTGTTTCTGTACATCATACCAATGAAAACCGTGTGTTTTTTAACAAGTAACCTTTCTTTGCTGTAGACTAAAGCATGTAATCTTGCCTTACTAACCTGAACAACTGTTGAATGCTTAAGATACTGGTTTAAACTTATTCTCTGTGTGCCAAGCTCTCAAAAGAATGGTTCTGAAATACTGTGTTGCTTTGTTTCACTGGCTATACAGATGACAGAATTTGGCATGACTTTCTCAGCTTACAGCTTCTGAAAAAACCTGACAGTTGAAGATAAGCTTAAGTGTTTGTACTTTAATTCCTTAGAGGAATGTTCTGATCAGAAACAACATTGTATAACTGGAACTGTTTTCACCCCTTTTTTTTTCTTTTTTTTTTTCCCAGCTTTTATTTAGCTGTGAGAAAGGAAGCTGAAACAAAGCTGGTAGATGGAACTGGCCACAGACCTCATTACAGTCTCCGTACGCTTTGCAGGGCATTGAGATTTGCAGCATCTAATCCGTGTAGCAGCATACAACGCTCACTGTATGAGGTGATTACCTGCATTGAGGTTTATTTCAGTTTGTGAATTCACCACAGAATCTGTTTGGGTAAAGAAAAATCCTCTCTTCTGGGTGCAGTATTGAAGACAAATGATTCTTTAATTCTGATGCGTTCTGTTCGTTTTTTTCTCCTAATGGTTTTTCACTTAATTGCTGACAGTAACTTTTCTTCTTAGGGCTTCTGTTTGAGCTTTCTGACACAGCTCGACAGAGTTTCTCACCCAGTGGTTCAAAAGCTAATTTGCCAGCATATAGTCTCTGGCAACATCAAAAGCCTTCTCAAGCAGGTATGTAAAAATCCTACTTTTAAGCTTGCGAGTAATCAGAGTAGAATTTATTTTGCACTATTTTCTCTGCCCTTTTTCTCTTACGTTTCCTACACACAGTCTTGCACTCATGTTTGGGTTTTTTTGTGTGTGTGTACAAAAAGCCTAAAACTTTTTTAAAATTCAGCTCTTTAGTAATTTTTGTTTCTATATGAAATATCTTTATGCTAGATGGCTTATTTGTAAATATAAAAAAAATATGGAAGACTGGATGATTATAGTATTGTGGAGTGTAGGCAGCTTAGATAGTGACTCCAGTAGTTAAACTTACAGGCTTTCAAGGAATTTTCATAGATTTTTTTTGTTTTTAGATCCTAAGCAAGCATCTTTGCTTTTTCTCTCATGAGAAAAGAGAAATCTCACTAATTCAGGGAGCCCAGGATGAGTTTGTGTAGCTGAATGGACAGCTGGGATAGGGGAAGCCAGTTGTAAGATAAGTGTATTTGTTTAAGAATAAAAATCTAAATGTCAGAAAATACGAATATAAAAAGCTAAAAGCCAGTTTGCCATTTGAAAGTATATTTCAAAATTCAGTGCTATGAAAATGTCTTTAGAAACTTTTTTGTGGTGCGAAGGTTCCTGCTTCATGACCTTGAAATAATCTGCTCAGGCTTTTCATTCTGTGACAGGGGGATGGTGCTTATTGCAGGAGTGCTCAGGGAGCAATTTAAAATGACTTATTTTAGAATATGTTACAGTAGTATAACAGTGGTTGTCTTCATTAGCAAATTCAAACTCATTTTTATAATCTTTTACTTCTGTCATGTCTCCTCAGCAAATACCAAAACCCCAAGGAGGAAGATTTATACACATAGAAGGATACTGGATTTCTGCTGGGGATAAGGAACCTACTGTAGATGAGACTTACGTGTTAACCCCTTCAGTTAAGCTTAATCTGAAAGATATTGTCAGAGTTGTGTCTGCAGGGTATGTCTTTTTTTTTTTTTGTTAGTAAACTCAGTTAAAGTTGCTTATTTGTCGTGTCCATCTAGTCTACATTGTTTAGCATGAAATAGATATATAGAATATAGATGATATAGATATATAGATTCTATTTTATATAGAATATAAAATAGAAGTTTACTTCTATTTTATAGTTAACTTTTCATTGTACAGTGACTTGAGTTTATATTTCTTTCTCTTCTAAAACCATCTTATTGCTATGCTGAGTTTTATTTCAGTGATCATCTAGAAATTTTGCAGTTAGAGTATCTGGCTTATTTCACGCTTTTATATAGTAACTTCACAGGTAGCAGTTAGCATTTGTGGGTACAATTCCTCATGTGAATAATCTTGAATTCAAAATTAGTTAAATAGTGGTGTTTTGGTAATAAAGAATCTGTGGAAGACTCAAGTGATGCTGATATCTTGTATATGAGGAAGATATGACTTATGCTTCTACACCACTGTGTTGGTTGTTCCTCTTAGGACTCACCCAGTGTTGATTCAAGGAGAAACCTCTGTTGGTAAAACCAGTTTAATTCGCTGGTTGGCTGCTGCTACTGGGAACCACTGTGTAAGGATCAACAACCATGAGCATACTGACATCCAGGAATATATTGGCTGTTACACATCAGATGCCTCTGGGAAGTTGGTATTTAAGGAAGGTGGGTCAGCATACTGCATTTACTTCACATTCCTGTGTTTCTTCCCTGGTTCTTTCTCTTTTGCCTAACTTGTCTCCTTTATTGCAATGGAGAGAGAATCTTCTGTAAAGGTAGTATTTACCTATTGATAGTCACTTATGCAAATTACAGTAAATTCTTAAGAGTTTATATGTCTCATCGCTATTCTACATCTTGTCCTCTTGTACATAAAGAATTCAGTAGTTTAAGCAGTTGCTTCCATGTGTGAATTAGCTTTTACACTGAGTGAAAACTGATTACTGAAAGTATCTAAATGCATACTCTGTTAGATTTAATTTATTATATTTTTAACCAGAACTTTTCCTGTTCCCTCCAAGGCATCCTCATAGATGCAATGAGAAAGGGTTACTGGATTGTTCTAGATGAACTAAACTTGGCTCCCACTGATGTTCTGGAGGCTCTCAATCGATTGCTGGATGATAACAGGGAGCTGTTCATTACTGAGACTCAGGAAGTTGTCAAAGCTGACCCTCGCTTCATGCTCTTTGCTACACAGAATCCTCCAGGACTCTATGGTGGCAGGAAGGTCTGTATAATCTCTTATTTTGAGTAACTATGACTCTGGAGAGTGAATCCCTATTGTACATAGAAGTGTGATGTGAAAACCTACTGATGCATAGTATGAAATTAATATGGAACTCTAAGGAGGTAGGAGGTAGAAGATCTGGAATGACTGTAAGTACAACTGGATTCTTATTTAGGTTAGATACTGATATCAAAGCTCTAATTAATTTTGAATACTTGAGATTTAAGTGCTATGCTGAACTGGAGTTGATGTATGTTATAATCGATGCAGTGTTTCTTGTTCATGAGCACTGGAGAAGAGACTTAATTTAAATTATTTATATATGTTTCAAAGCTCTTGTCCTCATCTAGACCCATCTCTTACACTTTCTTTTACATCTATGTGTATATGTTAATTTGTTTACTATGAGACTAGCCATATTTCCTTAGGACGTGTAGGAAAAGATTTATAATATAAGGAATATTGAAGGAAAGGCTCAAAGCAATAGCATATTCTTGTATTTTAGGTTTTGTCCAGAGCCTTCAGAAATCGTTTTGTAGAACTGCATTTTGATGAACTGCCAAGCACTGAACTGGAAACCATCCTGCACAAGCGATGCAGTTTGCCACCTTCTTATTGCAGCAAGCTTGTCAAAGTCATGCTAGACCTGCAAGTATGAGAGTCTTTCCTTTTTTTGTAGAAGATTTTAATGCTAAGTAATAGAAATTCATTTTGGGGGGGGGATGTGTGTTGTGAACTGATTGATATAGAATGCAGTTAAATGAAGAAAATCCACAGTGAAGTACTCAATTCAGTGGTCAGGATAGAGAATAGGGAAGATGATGTCAGATTTGGAAGAAGGCCAGCAGCAGCAAAATTAATAACTGAAGGCCTTGTGTTTTAATGTGTAAAACCATTTCTTGGCCTGAAATCTATAATAATAGATTTGTAGCAGCATTTGGACCATGCCAAATTTGGTACTATTTTTGAGCAATAGTTTTGACTGTGTTCTGGTACTCCTATGTGTTTAATAGGCACTTAACACTTAGTAAATAGCTAAAACTATCTTGTATTGTAAAGCAATTGCAGTAGTATAAAGCGAATCACACTCTTTCTAATAGCTTTCTTATACTGAATATCTTAGTTTATTTTGCTGTACTAAAGTAAAGTAAAAGTTAAAAATTATTAGCATTCCTTTTGGTGTAGAACCTCATTCCTTGTTTGGATTTTGCTTTATTCCAGGTACCTATTTTCTTACTTACTATTTTTACTTATTGTAGTATTTTGTTTCTGGGAACCTATCAAATTTGTTTACATATAGGTACTTTGGGACTTGTGACAATGTTGGATTTTTTTTTTCCCCCCATACAATTCATTTGAATGAATGTTGTATTAACCTTGTGAAAAGAATTCAGACTCTTAAGAAAATGACTCACATCTTGTTCTCATACCAGTCTTACCGCAGAGGTTCAACAGTTTTTGCTGGAAAGCATGGGTTCATTACTTTGCGGGATCTGTTTCGTTGGGCTGAAAGGTACAGATTGGCAGAGCAGCTGGAGAAGGATTATGACTGGCTTCAGCACTTAGCAAATGATGGTGAGCCATGCTGCTTTTCTTCAGTTGTTTTGAAGTGTCTTTGGGGAATTGCATTGTAACCCCAATAATTAGGTGTAAGCTTTTATTTCTAGTTAACTAGATAGTAATTGATTTTTCTCTTCCTCTGTTTTATAGGTTTTATGCTTCTGGCAGGAAGAGTGAGGAAACAAGAGGAGGTGGATGTTATACAGAAAGTCATTGAAAAGCATTTCAAAAAACGTATATATCCTGAGTCTCTCTTCTCAGAGGAAAGTGTCAAAAAGCTCCTGGGTGAGTTTCTTAGAAAAAACGTTTTTGTAGTTCTCTAGATGTGACTGAGGCTGATCGATTGATTTTTTTATTGTGCAGCTAAATCCTCCACACAGATGTCAGTGATGGGCAGAGATTTTAAACATATTGTCTGGACTCAAGGCATGAGGAGACTTGCAGTTTTGGTGGGAAGAGCCCTGGAGTTTGGTGAACCTGTACTGCTGGTGGGAGAGACTGGGTATGATACAGTTTGTGTGTAGTGTTGCGACAGCCACAGAGTTGAATGCACAAAGACTGCCCAGGCTTAGGTGCTTTTTTGGTCTGGGGCATTGAAGTCTCTGTCATGGCAGACTTGCAACTGTTGTTTTTTCACAATTCCATTTAGAGGGAAGATAATCGTATCTCTTTCAGCTCAAGTCTTTAACAAGATTGTATTGCATATGACTTCATAGAAATGATATAGGAAATAGTAAAACTGAAATTCCATTTCTACTTTTCACAAGTTGCCCTCTAGAATCTTAATGTGTCTCACTGGGAAGTCACTTTGAGAAGTTGTGTCAGTTTGCTGTTTGAGAGCATGTTTGTATTTTAAAGGCTTGACAGACTGTAGGTGAGATACTACCTTTTTTTCCCCACTTCTATGCGCTAAGAAGGAGATCAGGAAAATAGATACTGTCTGCTCTTGAATTTGTTACAAATTTGAAGAGTAGATTTTTGTGGAAGAGAAAGGAAGAAATACACAAGAAAGAGAGAAGTAATGTTTTTCACAAAATGGGAGCTCCAGGTCCTCAGCAGTTTATTTCCTCAGACTTGAAGATGGTTAAGACATGTAGCATCTCCAGTTCACTGAAACGTTAAGCTAGTTTGCTGACTGCAGGGGCAGGCTGAAATGAATTTGTTTTTCAGCCTGTAGAAATCTGTCAGCACAGATAATAATTTAAATTTTAACTAAAGGCATCTTATGCAGGTCAGCAGCAGTTGTGACAAAAATGGCTTCACACTGCGTATGTTTTAGTTCAAGGAAAGGAGAAGCAGGAAACTTGCATTCTGAGCCTTTGTATCATAGATATTCAATGAAAGTTTGAATCCTGTCCAAAGTGAGCTGGTTTTTATTCTCACTTTTTCAACTATGTGGCTTTTTGCAGATGTGGTAAAACTACCATTTGCCAAATCTTTGCAGCATTAACAAATCAAAAGCTATATTCAGTGAACTGCCACTTGCATATGGAGACTTCAGACTTCCTGGGAGGACTGCGACCAATCAGACAGAGATCAAGTGACCAGGTTTGTGTGGTATTGGTAGTAGCTAGTAGTTACAATAGTGGAAACAAAAAATAACAATTTTTAATGACTTCTCATTTCCTTTTCCATTTCTTAGGAGGAATATGATGGTTCTCGACTCTTTGAGTGGTGTGATGGACCTCTTGTTTTAGCAATGAAAGAGGAGGGTTTTTTTCTCCTAGATGAGATTTCTCTAGCTGATGATTCTGTTCTAGAGAGACTTAACAGGTATGTCTTAAAAATGCTTCATATTAAGTATCTTCAGATAGATGTCATACAAACATGAGCAGAGTAAATCTAGCTTTTTAGGAACCTCTGTTTCTTGGCCTAATTTTAAATTAACTGATTATTTTTTTTTCCTAACCCTATAGTGTGCTTGAAGCTGAGAAGACATTGGTTCTTGCTGAAAAAGGTGGTCAAGATGATGAGGATAATGAAGTAGAACTGTTGGTTGCAGGAAAGAAATTTCGTATCCTTGCGACTATGAACCCAGGAGGTGACTTTGGGAAGAAAGAGGTAAATATCAAAGTCAACTGGAAGTATAACATACTTCTGGTTGTACTAACTGTTTCATGATTAGAAGTCCAATGCAAAAATGCATCAACTAGCTCTGGCATTCAGTGCTTTCTGGTTGGAGCCTGCCACACTGCTCTAAAGGATGATTAGGATACACCTGTTCTCCATCACTTCTGTGTACTCACATTTTGACAGTACTGTGTCAATATTGAGCAGAATGTCCAAGAAAACTTAGAAGCTCTAAATATTGTAGGTAGGTTTCGTTATTTATCAGAATATTTTGAGTATGTGAAATGTGGTTCATGAAGCAAGCAAATTCAGCCCTAGCATGAAGCTACAGTAGTGTGAAACTGAATCTCAGATTATTCTCCTTAAGACTTTTCAGAAAGTGACATCTAGAAGTTTTCTTTTCATTCTTACTGAATATGTTACATCTCCAAATATGTTTCTCATTAAGTGGAAAAAAAAATCTGTTTTTGAAGTTGTTTAAAAGCCAGGTTAAAAAAAATGTTTTAAAGTGATATTGAGGCTAAGAAAGGAGCTCTCTTAACGGCATTCCATTAAGGCAGTTTCTACAGTACAAAAAAAAATTGCTGTAAACCAGATTTTTAATGGAAATTTCTTTCTGCATTGCATTTGCACTACTGAATTTTGTTTTGTTAATTCAGTGAGGGTTAAGAAAAGAATTATGGGAAGGAGTGTTGTAATTGAGGCAATTTCCATGTGGTAGTTTGTTTCTGTATGCAGATTACATTTCCATTGCTTGATACATGATGTCCTGGAATGAAATGGAGTTTTGGTGTTTGCAAACCAGCTTTATTTCTTTTTATATTCTTTTGAATTTTCTCTTTTGCTAGCTGTTTCCTGCATTGATTCCACTACTAGAAATGTTAAAATTCAGTGCTCTCAAAACTGTTAAAAAGTAGCACTATCAAAATTAGAATTGAGGATGTAGTCTGCTTGCTCTGTTGTTCTCAAGTTCTGTGGCTGCAAGGCTATCATGCAACCTCATGTAATGTGCTGTGTAAAATGAATTTCTATATAGTCCTGCTTGTTTGCAGCTTTCTCCCGCGTTGCGCAACAGATTCACAGAGATATGGTGTCCACAAAGCAATGGCCGTGATGACTTAATACAGATTGTAAAACATAATCTTCACCCAGGATTGTCTCTGGGTGGAATAAACCGTCAAGGTGGGTATTTTTCTGTGTGTCCAATTATACAAGCATTATTAAGAAAATGAGCCATCACTATTAAACTTTCCTCAAAATTTATACCAGTGTGTACCTTTTCATTGAAAGTATGTTTGTCTTTGGGGGCAGTTCAGCAATACTTTAGACTCTGTTCCTCATTCATGGTGTCTGTTCTTTGATTAGCTGGAGGCAAGATCAGGGCAGGTAATTGAATTGTCCCCAGCTCCTCAGTGCCCAATCTTAGTTCTAGTGTAAGTTATTGAAAGAACTGGCATTCTGTTTTCTGCCAGCACTTTGCAGTTAATATTAATAATTTGATTTTGTCTTGCTACTTGAATTTAAAAGGATGTGTAACACAGCACAGGCCTGGATTTATTCTTCAGTTGGCCTGCTTATTAGGGCATAGAATACCCATCTGTGTTCATGCATTATGGCTGCATGTACATTAAAATCATGCCTCTTATATAAGAGTACAGTATATTTGACTAGTAATGTCTTTTTGATAACTAATTTTTGACTTTTTTTCAGGAGCAGACATAGCAGAGCTCATGATGGACTTTGTTGAATGGCTGACTAATCAAGAGTTTGGTCGCCAGTGCATTCTCAGTGTGCGAGACATCTTATCATGGGTTAATTTTATGAATGTCATGGCAGAGGAGACCAATTCTGCCAAGGAACATAGTCATCTTCATATTTCTCCAGTGATGTCTTTCATCCATGCTGCGTGTTTGGTGTACATTGATGGAATCGGATCAGGTTTGTCTTCACTGCTCACTTTGTAGTGGAAAAAATAGAAGGATATTTGTGTTGATACGTTTGAGCAGAATGCTGACAAAATGCTTTGAGGCAGCAGGGAACTGTAACAGGAGAAGTTTTCATTTCCATTTGACAATATTTTGTTGTTTGTGTTTTCTTAACATATTAGAATAATACAGCAAGCCTAAGTAAGTTGTAGGCAGTAATAATAACATTGCAGAGGCAAGCACAGAAATGAAGAAAGCCTGTGCTTTTATCAAGTCTTCTAAGCTGCTGTATTGTGATATCATATTTAAGTATATGACTTTGTATTACTGTCTTCTTCCTAAACCAGAGGCTAGCCACTATCATGTGCATGGTTCAGAATGCATGTCTGTCTCTTTGGCCACTGGCCGAGGGAGATGGGGAGGGAGGGGAAAAATTGAAAAGCCACAAGAAGTGCAGGTAAAGAAGGCTAGGGAAACTGTGGTCAGGATGGTCAGGATGACAGTGATGGTAGCAGAAAGGCTTTGGGAAATGTCCTGAAGTTCTGTTGGTCACAGAGCAGTTTATCTGTGTTAAATAGTTGTGGAAACGCTGACATGTAAGAGCACTTACACCTGAACAGACTACTGCAGAAAACTGGCATCTGTGAAAGAACACTGTCTGCTTGTCATTAGATGAATGTGTCTTGGTATGGATGTGAAGCACACTTTCCTAATTACAGGTACAACATCCTGCTCAGCTGAAACGGCTTTACTAGCTCGTGAAAAATGCCTAACGTTCCTCTGTGAGAAAATGAGTCAATTCCTTGAACTGACTGATTATCAGAAGAATGAGCTGAAGATTTATGACAGAACGAAGAAGGAATTTGTGTGGATGGACAACTTTATGGGAATCCAACCATTTTTTATTCCAAGAGGCAAGAGACTGTGGGAGTGGGTGGACATTTGTTCTGTGTTTTTGCTCCCATTACTTCTGTTGCTCACTGGATTTGGTGAGGCACTGGAACAGGTTGCCCAGAGAGGTGGTGGATGACTTGTCCTTGGAGACATCCAACATCGGCTGCACCAGACTATGGGCAACCTGATCTAGCTTTAGGTGTTCCTTGTTCATTTCAGGGGAGTTGAACTAGATGACCTTTAAGGGTCCTTTCCAACTCAAACAATCCTGTGATTCTCAGTAGAATATCTAAAGAGTTGCAGAACAATTAGTAGTTTGTTATGAAGTTTAGAAAAGTGACTTTCCTAGCTCCAGTTGTGGTAGTGGCAATTAGGAAGAAACATTTGTTTCTGTGGTTTTCTGTCACTTTACACGATATGGAGAACATCCACTAAGTTCAGCCTAAAGCTATGGGTCATCCTGGCCCTTGTGTAAAGCCTGGGAATCAGGGGTCCTAGGTACAATCCTTAGGAAGAATAATGTCCTGCCTTGCTATATTGTTTCAAAGACTTGCTATGATTTTTGCATAGTTGCTTAGTCTCTGCATTTCAGTTCCTCATGTGTTAAGTTAATACAAATGATTCTATCCAAATACTGTTTTCTGCTCCTAAAATGTCCCTGAAGTAAGCCAGGGGACCAAAAAGCAGCAGAGGTTCAACTGTGAACTTTGTAGTTCATCTGGCTGATTCCTAGTAGTACTGAACTATGTAGAGTATATTCCTGATTCTGTATTTGTCATTCATCTCTGAGCATTTTGATATTATGGATTGTGTTAGTCATATATGAAATTGTACAAGGTAGTGGCATTTGTACATTCTTTGATTTCCCTTCGGATTACTAAGGATCGCAGGAGGAAGGATCTCTTTCATACTAAAAAACTGTCGAGATCTGTAAGATAAAACGATGATTAATTAATACCATGTATGAGCTAAGCAATGCTATTTTTGCAGAATTTGGGGAGTGATGTTCCAATGAGTTATACTGGTTGGAATTTGGCAGCTCAGAGGCTCGGTACTCTCCCCTAATCATATGTCCTAATAATAATAAAGAAAATAATGTGCTTAGCACGTTTTAATTTCAGTACTTTTCTTTCACAGGACAGTCTGGGTCTGTATATTGAGCAGATTAGCATGATGTTCTACAACATGTTGGAACTGTTTCCTTCAGTGCCAAATTTTCCAAAGCTTTTTTTGATTTTACAGAGAAATTGACAAAGTTTAATGGCGAAATATGCCATATTTATTTGCTTTTTGGAATGTACCACGTAAATGAAAATATAGGGGCTGAGTCACAGCTTTGGGTCTAATAGAATGCCTGATCTCTGAGAAAGGGAGACAAGCTTTACCTCCGCTGCTTGCTGTAATGAGATCAGCAGTTAGCAGGCAGAATGATCTCATTCAGAAGCACGCTGTCAACAGCTCCAATGTAAATATTCTGGTCTAATAGTTTTCTTTCCCTTTGTTTTAGGCCCTGTTCTTCAGAGGAGCAGTGTTACGGATTATGCTCTCAATGCTGGGACTACTGCAGTGAATGCTCAAAGGCTATTGAGAGCCCTACAGCTTAGCAAACCTATTTTGTTGGAAGGGTCACCAGGTGTGGGCAAGACCAGTCTAGTTGCTGCCCTGGCAAAGGCCTCAGGAAACTGCCTTGTTCGAATCAACCTGTCTGAGCAAACGGTAGAATAAAATACTAACTTTGTAACTTATTTTTTATAGTAGGGGAAGTTTTTGTTTAACTTAAAGAACAGTTCTTTTCAGATGTGGCACTGAGTCTGAAATGTCAGTATTTCCTCCTTCAAAAGATGAGGTGGGAAGGGGAAGCAGGAAAGAACAGTGAAATTAATTGAGTGATGCTAATTTTAGATTGTGTTCTTTTCAAGTGAGGACATGCAACTTTGTTTGCTGTGTTTTGTTTGACTTTGGCCAAGTTACTTGAAAGCACCTTTTAGGGCTTTTTATTTTTCCTTTTTTGTTGTTGTTTTGTTCTTTTGTTCCAGTTTATTTTATTTTTGTTAAATACAATAGCTTTCAGCATCTTGCAGTTACTAATTGGTTATTAGTTTTTTCTTACATTTAATGAGTGTTTAAAGGTGAGGTGAAGCTGACTGAACTTCTGTAATTTTTTTTTTTGCTATTCTTTACTTTCAAAGGATGTGACAGACTTGTTTGGGACAGACTTGCCTGTTGAGGGTGGTAGGGGAGGAGAATTTGCCTGGCGTGATGGACCACTATTGGCTGCATTAAAGGCTGGACATTGGATTGTGTTAGATGAGGTAAGTTTTGAGTACAAATAAAGTATTCAGGAGGAGCAGAAGTGATGATATGTGGCATATATTTTGGCATGTAGGATCTTCAGAAACCTACGAGGTTTGGTGACTGACATAGATTTTTGCTCAATTGCAGTCATTTTCGTCTTGTGCACAGTTGAGGATGATCTTTCCACTTAGAAGATTAAACTCCCTCTAGGAGTCTCTCTATCCATTGGATAGAGGAAGTGTAAGAGATCAGCTCTGAATTATAATAAGCAAGATGAGGATTGTGTCTCAACCTAACTCACTGCAGAAAACCAGGGCTTTTACATTTTTTTGAGGGAGGAAAAGTATCAACACAAATTTTGGGACATGTGCTCTCTTATGGTTCTATTTCACTGAAATAAAAGGTCTTTTTTGGGATTGATAAACTGTAGTGGCTACTGACGGAGATCAAGAAAGGATTCATTTTGTCAGTATAAAGTATGGTGCTGCCATATGTTTCTTTGTGTACCAAATAGCAAGTGCTTTCTAGCGTAGACATACACAGAGCTCATGTCTTTTTGAAAGCATGTGTTCTAATTATTGCCAAGTGCAAAATCTTAAACTTTTGTTTGCGTACCTTCTTCTCCTGTTGCGAAGAATGCCATCTTAAATAACCATGAAATTTAAGTATCCCAGACCATCAGAATGAGAGAAAGAGAGACTTCGGGTGTCAGAAATGTTTCTTCTGAACTTATGTTCATATACCTTGAAAATGCAGATCTTATGATGGAGATTTGTTTTGTTGTCATCATGAATATCAAATCACAGTAATAACAACAAATGTAAATAAGAAAAAGTGTTACTTGTAGTTGTTGCAGTGTAATAACAGTCTAGCTGGAGATAATAACAATAATATGTGCAATAATATGGTAGCACTGGAACAGCAAGGAAATTGAATTTATCTTCTGTGTACTGCGTGCAGTTAAGCAGATCATACAAATGTGTTTTGTGGAGCATTGATATTGTATCCTTATTTCTTTCCTCAGTTGAATCTGGCTTCTCAGTCTGTATTAGAGGGGCTAAATGCATGCTTCGACCACAGAGCAGAGATTTACGTTCCTGAATTGGGAATGAATTTTCATGTACATCATACAAAGACTAAGATTTTTGGATGCCAGAATCCATACAGACAAGGAGGTGGAAGAAAGGGTCTGCCCAAGTCCTTTCTTAATAGATTTACACAGGCAAGCATATTTGTTTGATGTAAACTATGTCATGGTCTTTTCTTGTGGTTGTATGGCTGTATCAACACACTGCATGTTCTTTATTATATAGGTGTATGTTGATCCACTATCAGCAGCAGATATGGAGTTTATTGGGAGCACGCTGTTTCCTGCCATCGACAAGAGTATTATTTCTAAAATGGTTGCTTTCAATAACAAGGTAAGTAGATATTTTGTTTGTGTAGAAGTAAGCATAATGCTGTAACGTTTAAAAAAAAAAAAAAAAAAAGTTGAATGTTATGTTTCCCAGCACCTCTGTAGGGAAGGGTGGAAAAGAGTGTGGATGAAAGAAAAATGGAAACAAATGCAGAGGGAAGTAAACAACACCAGTAAACACCATGTGAATTCTTTTAGCACTACAGTCAGACACGTGATAACTTGTATGGGGACTGAGGAAGCATTTATTTTTCACAGAAGATAAAATATGTATATATTACTAATAATATGTATGATATTAATCTTGATATTACTCATATTAACATATTAATATGTTTTTTAAAATATTTTGAGGTTTTGAAAGTAATTATGGTTTGATATCTTGATGAAGTAAGCTGAGAAGGAAGGTTTTCTGCATACATGGGTTACACTTAAAGTGCAAACAAAATGAGCTGTATCTTCAATAACAACATATACTTCTTTCTAATTTGAATTTCTAATCTAGTTTTTATTATGTGTTGCTATTTGAATGGTAGGATCAAGTGAAAGTAGCACTTGACCTTCTCAGAAGTAGCAGCTTTGAAGGATGTGTGGCATTCTTCTGAAAACCTGATAAAGGAAAATCTTTCCTGGTAGGATTTGTCTATGACATGAGATACAGAGAAGCTCAGATCTAAAACTGTGCTAGTTTAAAAGATGTTCACTGAATGTTAATTACAAAGCATCAGCTTAATAGCTTTTTTTTTTAGCTTAGATGCTGCCATTCTGTTTGAAGTGTAGTATTTAAAATTCACAGCAAGAATTTTTTCATCATCATGCTTCTGAAATTGCATTCAATTTTCATTTCATGAAACAAAAAAGCATAGTAACGTTAAGAGAAAGGAACATTCTGGGGTCCTAGATAAAAATACTTATTGGCAGCATCTTACTGGGTGTTCATTTAGAAAATACAAGAGGGGGAAACAAGGTTAGCTGTGAGTAGCATGATGAAGAACTAGTAGATGAGGGACTAATTAAATCAAGCTTTAGTTCCTGACATCTTCATAAAAGTGAATACAGCTTGTTCTCTCCTGTTGTCTGTTATGTACAGGGTGCCAAAAGCAGTAGTTCAGCTGAAATTCTTTTTTTTTAATATTTGAAGACCAGTGCATGATTTGGAATAAAATATTATTTGTATTGCTACTTTTTCCAGATCGATAAAGAGATAATGGCTGAAAAAAAGTGGGGACAGAAAGGAGGACCCTGGGAGTTCAACTTACGTGATCTTTTTCGCTGGTGTCAGCTTATGCTTGTTGATCAGTCACCAGGATGCTATGATCCAGGCCAACATGTATTTTTGGTATATGGAGAAAGAATGAGAACCAGGGAGGACAAAGAAATGGTGAGCTGTGTGTTCAAACTGTGAGACTGAAATCACTTACCAAAAGTGTTTCTCTTTTGTTGAAGTACTTGTAAGGAATGTTTCTCTTTAAGTTGCAGGAAGGTGGGGTTAGTCATGGAGTTGCTTCTGATAGCTCATGCTTACTTTAATTGTTCCTGTGCTTAGAATTAAAAGATACTTGTGACTAATCTGTTTTACTTACAATCACACTACTGTGAAGTTGAGAAGGAAGGCTAATTAAGATTCAAGTCTTTAGAACAGTGGATAAATTAAGCCTGATTAGCCTCATCTACTCTTTCAACTGTTTCAGGTTGTATCTACATTTAGAGACATTTTTGGCCAGGAGGCTTACGTGTATACAGGAACAAGAGATTTTCACATCACTCCATATAACATTCAGGTAAGCTTTTGACGAGGTTTTGGGAGTGGTGAGAGAAGGAAGCAGTTTGTACACCTGAGCACACATTTTCCTTTGAGTACTCACCTATGTGTCTCTCACCCCTTCTAGATTGGTTATTCAGTTCTTTCTCGTGGCAACTATATTCCTCGTCCTGGCAGAAATCTGTCACTTCTACATCATTCACTGCAGTCCCTTGAGTCAATAATGAAATGCGTGCACATGAGCTGGATGGTAATCCTGGTGGGCCCTGCAGCTGTTGGCAAAACCAGTCTTGTTGAGCTGCTGGCCCATCTGACTGGCCATCGACTGAAAATCATGGCAATGAACAGTGCCATGGATACAACTGAACTCTTGGGTGGATTTGAACAGGTAAATACTGTTTTGGTAATAAGGCAGTGTTTCTGCTTCCTACCTAACTGTAGCCAGTCCACTGTGATCTTAATGTTTAACCACCAAGTGGAGCTTTAGGCACTGTGGTCTTCTGGATGAACTAACTCTGTAATGGCATATTTGCAGGTTGATATTAATAGACCGTGGCTGCGACTGTTGGAAAAAGTGGAGAATGTTGTGAGCTCATTAGTAAGGGACAGTCTGCTCCTGACAGAAATTTGTGCAGATGATGCTGAACTTGTGCTGCGTGCTTGGAGCAATTTCATCCTGAATTACAAACCTAAGTCTCTGGGTGAAGGAGGAAGAAGTGTTACAGCTGAATTAGTGAGCAAACTGGAGGGAATACTTGTACTTACCCAGCGACTGAACAACAAAATAAGTTCTTACTCAAAGGCAGGTATGTGTGGTGATTTCAAGTAAGTCTGTTTCTCTGAAGAAAATGAGAGAGATGTGGATCTGGAGTGAAAGTTTGAGAAGGTTATGTAGGACTCTTTTTTTTTTTTTTTTTTGGTAAGTTTTGTTCATGCTGTTGCTTATCCTACTTGTATAACAGCCCAGCTTCTGAAATAGTTGGATTAGTGATGGTCATTGGGTTGTGGGGTGCTTAATTTTTTGTGTGCAGTTTTACCTGGTAGTGATCATTACTCCAAACTCAAATTGAAATTCTTTATAGGACTACTAAACATATGATGCAGTACAATTCATATCTTATGTTCCCATGTTGGGAATTTGGATTTTTTTCTTGTATTTGATCTCTGAAGCATTAAGTAGATGAGCTTTAGAGATTTCAGCAGTATAATGTGTAGACAGTTTTGTTTTTTTTTTTTTTTTTTTTTTTGTAAGGTAGTTGATATTTTTAAGCATTGTCTAAAATATGGAATTAATATCTTCAAACTTTATATAACTGAGGAGAAAGTTTGAAGGAAGGTATCTGACTAGTTTATATTTATCTGTATTTGCAAAAGCCTTGTATCCTCATGGATTTTTCCCATGGGAGATTTACTTGCAGAGTCAGACTTTGCGGTTATGTTTCTACCTTTTGGATGAGCATGGATGTTTATTAGCAAAATAACTTACATGTTTTTCTTACATGGAACAGGAAATTCCATCAGTAATACAGGTCTTGATGTTATATATGCTTCATTTCAGAGTTTGCTCTTCTGGTAGAAGAGTTCCGTCGTTTAAAGCTGCAGCAGGTCCAAGCTTCTGACTCTAACAGCCTTGGCACTTTTGAGTGGGTGGATGGGATGCTGGTTCAGGCCCTGCAGTGTGGTGACTGGTTGTTGATGGACAACGTTAACTTTTGCAAGTAAGAGATTTTAGTGAATGCGTTTCCGTGAGTAAATTTCTTGACCTTCCAATTGTACTTACCATCTCAGTGAATGTGTTTACAACTGAACAATTTTGTGTTTCATAGCTGTGTATGGAAGCAGTAATTTTCATTCCTTGGAAGAATCATCTTCTTCCTTCTTGAACTGCTTAATAGTTGATGGTTTTGAAGTTACCTTATAACCACATGAACGTTCTTTTAAATGTAGCCCCTCTGTGCTGGACCGTTTGAATGCTTTACTTGAGCCAGGAGGTGTTCTTACCATGAGTGAGAGAGGTGTGATAGATGGCACAATTCCTACAATAGCTCCTCATCCAAACTTCAGGTACTTTGTTTTTCTGCTTTACTTTTTTACTCTTTTTTTTTTTTTCCCCTGTGCATAAAATAGGTTTAGAAAAACAATTATCAGCTGTGATCCAGTGTTCTGGTATTGTGAATGCTACTCATGTTTCAGTGTACTGCACTGTCACTGACTACCTGGCAAGGAAAAAAACATAGGATATACAGCTTAGGAGGTTTGGCTTCATGTTCCTGTTCCACTACAGAATTACATTGGAAAATTCATAGCACTATACTCATGTCTTGATGTCTTTTTTTTTTGTTTTCTCCTAATTTAGTATTTCAACACTTCCCTATCTCACTGTAATGGTGTTCAGGGTACAGATATTAAAGATAGCGATGTATTCAGTTATGTTGGTAATAAAAACTGGTATGTGGATGTGCTGATCTTTTTTCCATCTTTTTCCAGTAGTTCTGAGTTCATGCTTCCTGCTGTGACAGAACTTAAAAAAAACAACAACAACAACAACAAAAGAGAAAAAGAACCAAACAAAAACAAAACAATCAAATTGTCTATCTTTATTCTACTCTGAAGTAGTCTCTGTGAGAGATGGGAAGAGAACAC